TAAAAAGCACTACAGCACTTCTAAGAAACAATCCTTTGATCTCAAGAGCTTATACTCTACATGCTCCATTAACTAAATTCAGAGTAACTCAAAACTGACTTTCCTGAAAACATCATATACTTCTCTTCTCTCATACTTACTCTACCACAACAAAATTGAAAGGATCACCTTTGATTGTACTGAAGTTCAACACAATCCAAACACAAACAATTCATTAGAGATTTTTCCTAGCATCCCTAATGGCTGCCCAGATAAGTTCAAGAAAACTTAGAAAATGTTAAACTACTAAACCAATATATATAAAAGTGTATTATGCTAAATAACAAATGAACAACCTGCAGGAATGGGTCATAAAAGGCAGTGGGAAAAATAATTTTCAGTGCTAAAGGGAAAGTTAGCCACCACTAAAGCTTTAGGCAAGATTACTTTTCATTGGAAAACAGCTCCTTTCTCTTATCACTACCAAGCAACTCTTCCTTTCACTGGACTCCAACCCCACACCCAGGTACTTAGTATGCTCAAGATGCCTCAAAGTCTGGTGGAAAGATTCCCCACCCAAGGCATTCCAAAATCAACTCTTTTCCTTCAAAAGATCCATTCTCTTGTTGCTTATTCTAACGGGAGGAAAAGCAATTCTGACTACACAATTGATTTCCTCAAGTCTAGGTTTGACCTTATCCCCACATTCATAATCAACTCTAGATAATTTTAAAATCTTTTGTCTTTTAAAGACTTTTATAACTTGGTCCTCTCCAACCTTCCCAGTCTTTTTATGTTACTTCCCTCCATATATAGTGTGATGATCCAGTGACACTGACCTCCTTGTTGTTCCTCACTGTACTCCATCTCCTGAATTCATGAATTTTTACTGGCTGTCCCATAATTGGACGTATCTCAATCCATAACTGGAATTGTCTCCCTTCTCATCTCTGCTTTCTCAATTCCCTAGCTTCCTTCAAGTTTCAGCTAAAGCCCCACCTACTGCAAAAAGCCTTTTCCTGGTCCTCCATAAATTTAGTGCCTGCAATTTATCTTCAACTTATCCTGTATATATCTTGTTTATTCATAGTTGTTTGCATCTTATTTCCCATTAGACTTTGAGTGTAGGCACTCATTTGCCTTTCTTTGTAATCTCCAGCTTTTATCACTGTGCCTAGCAAATAACAGGAATTTAATAAATACAAGTTGACTTAACCCCACACTAACGTGTGAATCAACCTAGGCTTAACCCTCCCAGAAATTACTTGCATTTTAAAACAGGAATGAGTATCTAATTCATAGAATGGGGAGCGGACCCCCAGAAGAGAATAGTTTTCTTAGAAAAGGATCTTAAGTTCTTCTCTAGGCCAACATCTTCAACCCAACCCCCAACAAATCAGCAACTTTGGCAAACCATTTCTGAAAGACTATTCTTCCTGCTACAATACAGCAAAGATGACAAATCTTCTAAAAAGCATTTTCTAGCAGGTATAAAAAGTTGAGGTTTGAGGAGATGATCCTAAGAGTTTCCTAAAAAACCATTCAGCTTTACATTGAAAATATTTCTAAATGATTGTTTGGGACTGAAACACATATTGTATTAATTACTTTGGAAAGGGTACGAACAATAAATTGAGACAGGGGAGATAAGGAGGCAGACAGATCAGGTAGGGCGCTATTACAATTGCATATGTGAAATGTGTATGTGATGAGGGTCTGAACTACGTTAAAAGCAGTAGCAGTGAAAAGGAAACAGAATCTACCTGTTGGAGGTAAACTAGACAGGCCTTAGCAACTTGGATTGGGGCTGGGAGGATGAGAAAGGGAGAGGGAAAGATGATGACTCAAAGGTTTCAAAATGGGTGCCCAAGAAAATGGTGGCACTTTCAACAAAGTTTTAGATATTGACATAATATCCAGGTGGAGATGCCCTTCAAGCCATTGGAGGGTTAAAAAGTTGGAGTACAGGACAGCTAGGTGGCCCAGTGGATAAAGGGACAGGTCTGGAGGCAGGAAGACATGAGTTCAAATCCAGCCTCAGATACTTACTAGCTGTGTGATCCTGGCAAATCACTTAACATTGTTTGCCTCAGTTTCTCATCTGTAAAATAAGCTGGAGACCACTCCAGTATCTTTGCCAAGAAAGCCCAGATAGGGTTACAAAGAATGGAACACAACTGAATAACAACAACAGGAATGGAGTTCAGGTTATGGATTGGGATAGATTTGAGACTTTTGTAAAGAGGCGATAAATTTTAGTTACATGAATTGATAAAATGGTCATGGGTGAAAGAGGGGAGAAAGAAAATGGGCTGAGACAGAGCCTTCAGTGACTCCCATATTTAGATGGTTACAGAAAGATGAAGAACTAGTGAGAGACCAAAAAGAATAGGTAAAACAGGAGAACAACTCTTACTGAAGTAAATGGAGGAGAAAATACTAAGAGAAAGGGATAATCAACAGTGTTGTGATATACAAAGGTCAAAGAGGGTGAAGACTAAGAAAAGGCCAGTGAATATGACAAAGTAGGTGGTCAGGAGTCGCATAAAGAAAGTGGTTTCAGCAGCATGTGGGGACAGAAACAGATGTATAAGGGGTTAATTTGCAAGTTCATGTGGAGTAAGTAATTAAAGGCAGCAAAGACGGTTATGTAGAAGTTTGGCAGTGAAGTGAACGAAAGAAAGGACACAACAGTTTGAAGAGATAACAGGATAAATGAAAAGGTTTTTGGACTAAGTAATAAAATAACCCATATTTACATAGCATTCCAAAATATGTGAATGCTTTCCTCACAAAAACTCTAAGGTAACTCAAATATCATTATTCCTCTTTTACTTATGGGAAAACTAAAAGTTTACAGAGGGTAACACAGAAAGTCACACAGCTAATAAGTGTCATCTAAGAAATATAATTATACCCAACTCTGTCAAATCTAAATTCAGTGCTCTTTTTCATTTCATCACACTTTCTCTGGCCAAGTTTTCTCAACTGCTGAATGTGGAGGTAGAATTAGACGATCTAATGGCTCCCTCCAATTCTAAGATTCTATGACTTTTTCACAGAAGCAAGCTAGTACATAGAGTGCTAGGCATGGAGTCAGTGAACCTGAGTTCATATCTGGCCTCAGACACATACTAGCTATGTGATCCTGGGTAAGACACAACTGCCTCAGTTTCCTCAACTGTAAAATGAAGATAATAACAGCACCTATTATTGCAGGGCTCTTGAAGGATCAAATGAGATTTCTGTAAAGCAGGCACTACATAAATGTTTTCATTTCCTTCCTTCCACCTGCATGTAGGCAATGGGGAACCACTGAAAGTTTCTGGACAGAGGAATACTTATGGAAGTTTAACAAGGTAGGCATATGCAGGAAAGACTGAAAAGGGGAAATAGGTGGAAGCACAGAGATCAATTAGATTTTTGTAATAATCCAGGTATGAAGTGACTGACGGCTTGAACAAATGGCAGCTGAAATAAAAAGGAAAGGACTGACGTAAGAAAGAATGTGAAGGCTGAAGCAAGATATACTCATAGTTGATTCAATGTGAGAGAATGGAGCAAAAGGCAAACAACACTGAGGTATGAACTAGCAGGCAAAATAATTGGAAATCTACAGATCAGATATCCATTAATAAAAATAATGATGATGGTGATGACAATAAATAACTAATATTTACATATGTCATTAAGGTTTGCGAAGTACTTTGCAGGCATTATTTCCTTTGACCCTCACAACAAACCTATAAGACAGGTGCTATTATTACACCTATTTTACAGATGAGAAAACTGAAGCTGAGAGAGAATAAAAGATTCGCTCTGGGTCATACCAGTAAGTGTCTGAAGCAGAGTTCAAAATCAGGGCTTCCTAGTTCCAAGTCCAAAATTCTACTCACTATGCTACCTAAAGTTTCTGAAATAGTTTGCAGTTTCCTCTTGAGAGGTATAATTTTTTTGGATATGTCTAAGCTAATATTCCAACAAATGGGTTTCAAATTGGGGAAATTCCATAATCCTGGTGCTAAGAATTATATGAAGTTTCAATAAATCTACACACAAACACACACAACACAACACAAAACTATAGCCTAGCATCACTACACATTAACACTGATGGCTTGCTACCCAAATTGGTAATGGAACATACTAACTCCTAATTTCAAGTGTTCAGAGATTTACCTGAAGTAAATATGCCACTGAAATATTTGCAGTCAGATGATGAGAATAAATAATTCTTCTCAGTGCCAGGAGTTAAGAACTTAAATTGCCAAAAGTAATATCTACCCTACTAATTTTTTCTTCCTCTGGTAAAGACTTCTGCCATATATTATTGACTCTGAGCAGAAAGACTGTGACCCTGCCAGAATTTACAAATAGGATCATGGTAAAAAGCCAGACTATAAAGGATACAAATTACTAACCTAAACAGTAGCCTACACACAAATAATGAGGATATGGCTACCTGCTGTATTAAGTAAATTTTCTATTCTTCAAAGAGAAAATCTACTCAAATAGGTTTTAGGAAACTATTATGTACCAAAAAAAAAGAGTTTAAGAAAAAACAGAATTCAAGAAAGAAAGCACCACAGTTCTATAAAATCCAGGCCAAGATGGGAGATAAATCTGGCTATACCCTGGCTTGGTCACGAGTTAAAGGAGACAGGTCTATTACTAACTACTTGTGTTACTATGGACAAGTTATTTAACATCTCCAACCTTAGTTTTCTCATCTGTAATATGCGTGCTATATAATCCCTAAAATCCCTTTTTCAAGTAAATTCAAGAGAAGATTGCTTTTTCTATTTTTGTTTTTCATTTGCTAATAGTATCTCCTCTCCCTTCATAAAGTACCTTTCACCAGAAATAAAACACTTTCACATTCTTGGAAGTTACAATATTTAATATCATTTTCTCAATATGTCACTCACCAGAAAAGACTGACTATTGCTGTGTTAAAGACTAGGGTTTTTTTAATAGTAAACATTGATGCTATTCTAAGCAGATAAGAAGTTCAGCCTAAATTCTTGTGATGGATGGTTTATTTGAAGGGAATAATAATTTTTGCATATACATGGCACAAATTAATTATATACAGTATACTTTCCATGATAAAAGTTATGATGCTGTTCACAGAAAGGTATCAATTTAAGATACATAATACATAAGCTAAAATATACACATAGGGAGAAGAGTGAGAACCAAATGGTCTTTTTTATTATTTAATAACCTCAGGATGTATTTCAAGGAATACTGATAATTTAATGTTCAAAAAGTTTTTAATAAACAAACTTCTAGTAAAGTTAATCAAAATATTTATAATACTATTCAATAGTTGCACAATATTTCCAATATACAATCAAGAAGATGCACAGTACAACACTTAATAACAAAAAAAATCTATTGCACCCACAATCAAAAATGTTTCACTTCCTTATTTTCTGGATGCTGCACTACTATATATATATATAAACATTTACAACACTTTAGTAAACACAAAAGTTCTAAATGTAATGCAGCATAATGAGCGTAGGAGGGGTGAACTTCACCTTTCAAACTGAATGTTAAGTGTCCATATACAATGCCATTTACTCAAAGCTGATTTATAGGTCATAAACCATTATTCCTATTGTGAACAAACAACACACTTTCCCTGTACCATGTTGAGAAGATTAATATTCCTTTTGTTATACACAACTGGTATTCAGCACTTCACATGGTCCTGTAGCAGAATGCCAATGCTAACCTTCCGTCTCAGTGCTTGACCATAACCTGATGTCTTATGACAAAATATTTTTCATTTCAGTGTCCTGTTAAATAATCTTGGGTAGAGTCCGACGCAAATGAATCTGCATCTTCATTATCTGAATCATCACTGCTGTCATCAGCAGCTGGTTCTCCTGTGAGTGCTATCCGGGCATAATCATCAGTGTCTATAGATTTGCAAAAATGAATGGCATATTTCAGTTTTTCCTCTAGTACTTGTTTACAGGAATACCTGGGTAACTTCAGCAAAAAGAAGCAAGTGTATGATTCTGGAAGGAAGTGGTCAGGCGGATTGTACTTATCCAAAACCTACCAGTGGAAAAAAAAAATGAACTTAGACCACATAGCAAAGAATAATTATGAAATTCAGCAAACATTTAAAAAATCCATGATACCTATATCAAGCATAGTAACACATTAACCAAATTATATTATTTCATATAAATATAAAATATATAAAATGTAAGAAATATAGCATCAGTCTCTTTTTTTTCTTCTATATTTGGTTACTTTTTTTCTATTCTAGATCACTTAGACATAAGGACATTTTTATTAGTTGTAGCATAATGTTGGTGCTTTGAATTATTCTATTTTTATTAAATTCTGGACAATGGAAATTATAACACAGAGGGAACTGAGTTTATAGACATGATTAATTTTTTTTTAAATGGAAACTATATTGAGCTAATTTAAAAAGCATAAATGTTAAAATTGTATTTGTAGCTAAGTAAAAAAAAATCCCTCAAAAAAAGGGCAAACAGTAAATTACCGCACCTGCTATTTTATTCATATCAAATACATAACATGACAATGAAAGTCAAACGCTTCCAGCACTTAACTTTTTGCTTGCACAGCAAGGACCCTTTAATACGTGGAGTGTACCAAATACACACTGTCATATCTCAATTCAAGTGAGCTATATTTCGAAAAAGTCTCCTCCATTTCAGTCTCCCATGGCCGGGGACAGAAATACCATGAAAGCCCTTCTGTTTGGATCAATAAGCTCATCAGTCATTCCTGACACTCAGAAATCTAGGAAACAACCTAGAAAAGTATGTGCAGAATGGAAATTGAGAGGGAAACTAAATTATTTCAAAGCACTTTCTGATTTGACAATATGCATTTCAAAATTGTAGCCTTTTTGGGGAACTGGTCAAAGGATAACTTCAGAATTAAGAATCAGGGGGCTCCAAATCTTATAAATCTCCTAGAATCAGCCAGGAAAAAAAGTGACATGAGATATTCTTGTAGAGTACTCTCAAATATGATTCTTCAGTAGATCTATTTTTCCTTTAAAAGGGAGTTGAATCCCATTAGACAAACTGTGATGAGGTTTGAGGACTAAGTCACCATATCTTAATTTCACATAGAGTCCCAAAACTCTTAGCATTAAGGCTTTTGGGACACCCATATAATTTATCTTTGTAACACATCACCTAGTACATAGTAGGCACTTAAAAATGCTTGATTATTTAATATAACATAACATTTCTATTAGGTTAGGATAAGTAAAATTCATTTTACAGCCATTTAACAATGATTCAGACACAAAAACTAATATTTTCTGCAGCCTTCTGATTTTCTAGGTCAAATGATCTATGATTCTGAATGAAAAACAATGTATTTTTTTTTAAAACAGCCTAAAGAAAACATATACATCAACTAGTACCTATATGGTACCTTAACAAAGCTGCAAAATTTCAGAGTATATTGATATCCAGATTTAAATAGAGATTTAAGCTATGAAGGATACTTTCCTCAACTCTGGGGGGCATATAGTATATCACCATTTTACAGATGAGGAACCTAACTTCTGAGAAGTTAAGTGACTTCTTCATGACCATACAGCTAGTCTCTTAGACAGGACCAATGTTTAACTTGAACTAATATCTCATGACCCCACTCTATTCCTGACACCATGGTATCTTCTAAATGGTGGTCAGATAAATTACAAAAAGGTAAGGGAATGGCCTTATTCAGCCACGGATATATCTTTTCAACCTTCTAGGTTTGCCAAATCAGTAGGGGTGTGTGAGGTTTTTCAGATGTATTAAATTTCAGGAAAGAAGAGGAGGTGCAAAAATACTGAAGAAATATAAAAAGATTTAAAAAGAAGCTAGTCTAAATCTGTGAGATAGACCACTGACAATACAATCAATTAAAAATTACTTCAAGATATGCACAGCTAGAATAATAGATATCTTTCTATTTTCCTGAGAACCTAAGTGGATTTATGGAAGTTATTCCTGTTGTATGTTATTTATCAAATTAATTTTTAAGTCAGTGAAGGAACTCCCACTGTCACAGAACTCCTGCTTTCAACAACCAACACCATCAACCTTACCTGAATAACAAAGTCTCTGCCTCTGAAATCAGCAATTGTTCTAGGAAGTCGTGTTCTGCCCCACACAAAACGGAGGAAGAGAGAGCGCTCCGTATTAGAGAAGGATTCCATCACTTCCCAGAACCACTGGATCAGAGAGGCAGTAGGTTCAATTCCTTTATATGTGGCTACAGATTTTAAAAGATGAAGTGGAATATCAGGGCTTCCACATACCTGGGAAAACAATGTCTCATTAGAACTACTAGAAAATTTTCAAGCTTTTGTATTTTCCACACAAAAAACAATTCTCTTCTTCCTTGAAAGTCTTACATGACTAACATACATTACCTGTTATTATTGGTGAGACATTTAACTGCTTGACTCCAGAGATTTAAGTATTTATTTAAAGTCAATACAACCCTTACATTAATTTTTCTTTTTGTTAGAACTATCTACCCAATTTAATTTTGTTTTTTAGCTTCAATTAACATGCATGCATACACTTTAGGCCTGCAAATGAGAGCTTAAAAAAAGAAAACAAAACTAGAGCAATGTTTTGGCATCAAGATAGGTTCTACCTATATCCTCTACGAGACAATCCAATGAAAACAGAAAATAAAGAAGCAAACATACCATAGTTTCCAGTTCATATCCAGTAAAGAGTGAAAGAAGAGGAACAGGGACAACTCGAGCCATTCCTTCCCGTACTGCAGCAACTTGTTCATCAAATTCATGGAGCCTAAATAAAAGTATACATTATGATTGAGGCTGGGACTTTAAATTCTTGTCTTTAGTGGGGTTTTTTGCTAGTCCTATCAAATGCCAGAATACTGGTGTTTCATTTCCTTACCACATTACATCTTAATAAAAGGCCTCAAATAACAGTATTTTTTACAATATTTTGTTCATTTAAGATAGTATAAAATTATTATTCTTAAGAAAAATACTGTTGTAGAAAGCTATGTAAAAAGATATGAACATTTAAAAATCAAGCAGTTAACAACATTCAATTAGACCCCACTGCGTACAGAGCATTGAGTAAGACACAAAACAAAAAACAGAAAAGAAGTCCCCTCAAAGAATTAAGGAGAAAGTTTCTCTTAGCAAAGAATAATTAATATAAATGACATGACTCTCCATTTATTTATATAAATACCAACTCAGAGGTTAGTTTTATATATATGTGTGTGTGTGTGTATACACACTCACACATACATATATACACACACACATATATACATATATATATGACAGAACAAATGTTTTAGATCCAAAAGGCAAAAATATCCGTCAGAAAACGTACATGATCATAATCATAATAATCCATCTATAAACATTTACTGGACACCTCCTACATATAAAGCAATGTACAGGACAGAAAATAGTATGAAACAGGGCAGTTGTCTTCAAAGAGCTTATAATCTAGTATAGGAGACAAGAAGTAAATGTAGTATGTTACAACACTAAGAAACATTTATTATCAGCTACACACCCCAAGGCCATATAGGGTGGATGTTGGTAGGAATTCAAAGAAATAGAAAGACAGTCTCTTTTTTCACAAAATTTCCATGTAGACTATATGACCTCTGAGCTCTCTCTGCATTTTCTATACCATGATTCAATTCCTAAAAAAGTATACATAACTGCTGAGTTTTGTTTACCTTTCATCTAGCTATTGTTCCAAAAAATTTGAAACTTGGATCCTATAACCAGAAAAACAGCTTTGAGGATATAAAATTATAAATAGGCAAAAAAACACCAAAGCATTTATTATCAGTTGACCAATCTGCCTCTATCTAGCACATTCTACTTGCAATTTCAGACAAGCTGCATAAACTCTCTGGGCCTCAGTTTCCTCATGTAAAACAAATGTAATGAAATATAGATATTCTCAGCAGTCCCTTCCAACTCTGAATCTGTGAGCTATGATTCCATGATCTGGGGAAATTTTAGACTTCTATGAGGAGCACTTTGTCATATACAACCAAAACATTTTAAGAAATGGTGAATGTTTCAGGAAGTCTAAACAATTGAGAAAAATAATTCCCACAAACCTGTAATTTATTGCCAATCTAACATATTCAGCACGGTTGTCCAATGTAATGTGGGTATATTTAGAGCTCAACTGAATATCCTGACCACTTGCACTCGGCACTGTGAAGGGAAGGCTCATTGCCTCAAACTCCTCAGAAGTAGCTTCATTGTCCCGGATGTACATCAACCCAGGAATAAAGTCTTTATCAACCTTTCAAAAGAAAATGATAATCTGCATAGTAAACCAACCCAATTATTCATCCAATAACAATAAACACTGATGCAGATTCATATGAAAACATATGCTTTATTTTGCACATTTACAACACAATCTATTTATTAGTACTTTGCACTATCTGTGCTCATAAATAAACTAAAAAAAATTTTCTGAACAAGCATTTCATCCTGGGAGAAGAAAATATGAAGTAATTTCATTCAAAGAGCTTCTCCAAATTGACATCTGACATTGTACACAGTAAGAGCACTATTGTATGATGATCAACTGTGGATGACTTGGCTAGTCTCAGCAATACAAAGATCCAAGACATTCCAAAGAGCTTTTGATGAAAAATACTGCCACCTCCAGAGAAAGAACTGATGAAGTCGGAATGCAGATGGAAGCACACTATTTTTTACTTTCTTTGTTTTTTCATGGGTTTTTCTTGGCCACAGGGGTAGGGAGTGGTGGGGAGGCGGGGAGTGTTTTCCTTTCACAACACGACTAATACGGAAATATGTTTTACATGACTACACGTGTACAATCTATATCAAATTGCTTGCCTTCTAGATGAGGGAGGAAGGGAGAGAAGGAAGGAATTTGGAATTTAAAAATTTTTTAAATCAAATGTTAAAAATTATTTTACATGTAATTGGAAAAAGACAAAATATAAAAAAACTGACTTCTGAGAAAGAAAAAACAGGTTTTAAGTGCCTCATCTGTAAAAAGGCGGGGGTCTAGACTTCGTGACTTCTCAAATACTTTCCATTTCTAACACAGTAAGATTCTATGGCTCTGTAATTTTAAGCTACATGACTATTAAGTATTAACTTCCCAAATAAACTAGTTTAGCTACAACCTAGGCTATATAAAAATTTTTCAAAATTAAGAAATAACACCAGATGCCATTTTCTTAGCCATGTATCTCTATTTGACAGAACACATTTCTTTCACAGCTCCACATTTTTTTTTGCCTATCATTGTAGGTAAATACAATATATTATACCTTACCTCACTGAGATCAGCAATTGTAAGGTTCATCCCCGCCAGCTGCTTCCAGACGGGCTCAGCAAGGTTGAGGCTTAATGGACTGCCAGTTCGAATGGCAATGCCTAGTAACACACCTGATAATTTTTCAAAATAAAAATGACAGAAATATTTTGAGGATAGTGCCTAAATATTTTCCCATATAAATTACAACAGGGAATCCAGCTGCACTCAGTGTGATTTTAGGACTTTATTAATGCTATCAAAGTTCACATTCCACAGAGTTTGTTTTTTGTTCAAAGTGCTTTGCCTCATCTAAAATCTGTAAATTGAGCATCTTTTATTTTTACAGTGGTTAGCAATTTTTGACAGACATTGGTTGTTCCAAATTTCCAACTTGTTTTTATATCCTAAATGCTGTGTTTCTTAATGGCTAGTAATTTTTCATGCTTTTTTCACCAATGGAAAAGAGTTAGACACATTTATCATCACATATCTTGGAAATCCTATTTTTAGGCTACATTAGGATTTACAAAACACTTTCCCCACAAAAAAAAAAAACAACCCTCCAAGAAAGACACTACAGATTTTATTTCCATTTTGAAGATGGAAAGAACGAAACTTGGTGAGGTTAAATGCATAGGACTTTCCTACAGTTACAAAGGAAAAATTAGGAAATGAGGCCTCAAACCTAAGTCTTCTGATTCAAATTCCAGGGGTCCTGTCCTAAATTAACAAAGCATTAGATAGTTTATCACAACCTACCCAGGAAACGAAACATATTTGTATGCAAGGAAGATTTAGCAGCTGGGTTCAATAAGAAGCAATCTCTATTGGCCCCAGATTCATCTCTGCCATTTGGAGTTACAATTAGGAGAGGAGTAAGTCCATTTTGGAGTTCTTCACACATTTCTGCTATGGACTCACTGTAGCCACCTCCACAATCATCCACAGACTCACCTTGAAAGGAAAATGAAAGTTGACAGAAATTCATAGATTGTAAGAAAAACATATACATACATACACATGCATACATATGTATATGATGAGCATTCCTGTTATCTCCAATCAGTAATGACTTTTTTTTCCTAGGACCTCAAATAACACTTTGTTTCTATAACTCTCTCATGCACATACTCATCATTGTTGTCATAACCCTCTACTAGATGATGAATTCCATGAGAGCAAATTATTTGTGTTCTCCTCAACCTACACTCCTAGTAGTTATCAAAGTGACAAATGTTTGCTGAATTTTAACTTTCATATTAAAACTTTTAACATTTAACTTTTTGCATTAAAATAATTTTTTGCACTAAGCTGAATATTTACTTAAGTTAATAACTGAATACAACTTCATGGTACTCATGCTTGGGTCCACTTACAAAATATTTTGTCTATTTAAATAGCACGTCATTTTTTTTTTCACTTTTTTGTGAATGTGATCAATATATTATAGAGTAGGCAAGGTAAATAAAAAAATCATAGAGGGAAAAATTCTTACCAACAAACTTGACTTTCCACACTCTATGAGGTAGGAGGAGGCTGTCTGGACTAAATGAACTCATTTTAGCACACATTTGACCAAAAACAGACTTGGTACCATCAGGGCCAGCCAAACCACCCTTACTCCTTGATCGTTTTACCTAAAACATAAAAAGATGTACACTGTAAGGGTGGTGCAACAAAAATTTGTATTACTCATTTTGTTTTGAACAAATAAATGTAAGATATACGGCATGGGGAAAAGATGCAAGATTCAACTAGAAACAATGTAACTACACCTATATTCCTTAATGGAGGAATTACCCACATCTCTAGTCTGAGTCTCATCTCAATGTTTCTTGTTACAAAACATCTCCTGTATCTACAATTTCTAATTCATACTTACTGCCACAACCTTAGTATAGGTTTTGGCCATCTGTCACTTAGGCAACTGTAATCCAAATCTCTGAGTGCCTCACATCTAACCCTAGTCTCCTTCAAATTAATATCCAGTGCCAAAGCTGGTTTTGTTGCCCATTTTTCTGACCATACTGACCAATTAGAGTTTTCTACTGAACTACAGAGAAAGTCCAAAATATTCACCTTCTGATTTGAAACAGGCCTTCCAGTATACCTCATTTCTCCTTCATTTCATATCTCCTACTGCAGTCTAGCATTTTTGTTCATCTCAGACACAAACTCTTTTAGTTGATCCACTGCAATTCTAACTTCAAAACTTCCTCCTAAGTTGTGCCAAATGCTTACAACATTTTTTCCTTGACAAATATGCCCAGTCAGGACTCTTCTATCACTTAATAGGCCCTTGGAAACAATCTGGATTTGTCCTGGGTGGAGATGGAAACAATTGTGGCTATTCCATATGTTTTTTACCTTAAAATCATTTACTCTTAATAAGAATAGTTTTAATACCTTTGCCATCTTCTTGTATATTAGTTCAATATTTTCATTCTGCTGATTTAAAAAAAAATTCTGCCTTTATGATAACTGACTTAATTTTTATACAGGTCATTAGGGTTTGCAAAGTGCTTTAAACACACTACCTCACTAAACTGTCACAACAATACAATGTGGTAGGTTCAGAAATTTAGAGATAATGGATGGAGAAAATAACATTATCTTCATTTTACAAATGAGGAAACTGAGGTCCAAAAAAGTTAGAAATCTTGCCCAAGGTCACAAAGCTAATGTAAGAGATAGGAACTAGATTCAAACCAAGGTCTTCCCAATTTCAAGTCTAGCAGTCTCCCCCGCTACCTCTCAGTGCATCTTAGTGCTGTCTTACTTTATAATCCTCTAATTGACAAATACATTATCTTTTTCATAGCTGCTACATGGTTCTTAGCATCATATTATTTGCTAATATGTCCTGTATACAAAGAGAACGAGAAAGAGAAAGGGAGAGAGGGAGAGAGACAGAGACAGAGACAGAGAACACAGACACAGACACACAGACACACAGACACACAGACACACAGACACACAGACACACACACACACACACACACACACACACACAGAGCAGTGCTTCATTCATCTGGTGACACAAGCAGGGTATGAAACAGTTCACACAAATTTTCCAGACAACTGAAGCTCTGAAACACCAAAATGTGACCATTTTAACAGAATTATCTCTGTATTGTAATAAACCTATTCCTATCTTAACAGAGTACAATGTGTAGGACTTAACCTTTCCTTGATGCCTCAGGGTCCTCAGATTACACAGTAGTACAACATACAGTGTTGCTCTCAGGAGTTCCTGGAGTACACAAGGCTGTTTGCCCCATACTAAATATCCCTGAAGCACTAACTATGCCTTTTAGAATGGTATCTGCTTTTCAGTTTTTGTATATTCCGTTATTGTCAATCTGTCAGCTGACACTTACTATTACCAATATCCCACATCCTTATATCTCCACTCTGAGCCCCAATCTACTACTGCAGGAACTGAACTAAATGTAAATAGCAAGAGTGAGGGCCTACGCTGTGGTTAGCTCATTAATTTCATGCACCAATTCTACTTACTCAGGTTCCTCTTTTGCTTACTCTCTTGCATTGAGGAGAGTGAGAACTGCCAGAAATATGACCTCCACGTAAGCATGGTTTTACTGCACAGATTTTTTTAGATGATGATTTTGGCTAGTTTAAGTAATGTTTTCCTCTCCTATGGTAATGAAGCTCTTTCAGGCACTTAGAGATTACTATTCAGTGGATTAAAGTTCATTATTACAAACTTTCTTTCTCTTGTTAAATGCCTGTTCTTTAAGTTTAATAAGATTCTGTGTGCTAACTAGCATGCATCAGTTACTACTCACTTAGCAAATCTAATGAATAGTAGGATTTACAAATTTACTATGAGTGATTTCCAAAGCTAGTAACGGTACATATCATATCCGTCTTTTTTCTGTTGAGCATTTGAATGTTATAACACATTTCTATAATACTGATCTTTTTCTATACTTCAAAAAGCCCACCATTTCCCAAGTGTTTGTACCTTTTCTCTCATCACAGAACATAATCCCTCTATGCTTTAGTAAACAGTTTCTATGAGCAGTGAACAAAAACAAAACCCCCCCCCCCAAAAAAATCCCCAAGTAACCAACTTTCTAGTGATGAGCTGCCAAATTGAGCTACACTATTCCCCTGAGAGAGACATATATAGTCAATCACCAGAATGACACTTAAAACCTTTCCATATTTCTGGGCATAATCACAGAGATTGTGCCTTTGGTATTATCTTCAAAAACCAAAAGTATTTAAGTAAATTTTACCAAGGTTTGGTATCACACTACTGTTCAGAAATTAATTCTAATATGACAAATTCAAAGACAGAAGCCAGACTGTATATTTTAATAAGGAAGAACTACTACAAATACTTACCCAAGGATCAAAAATTAGTTTTACATCTAGGAACCAACCCTCAAATTTTGAAATTTGACAAATTTTTTTCAGCTTTCAGAAAGAAAATAAATAAACGTAAGGGGAAATGCCCTAAACCTGTTGGTGCTTTCCAATTTAAGGTCAAAGGCTGTCACTCAAGGTCTATAGAAAATATCCTTGAGAAAAATGATGAGCACATCTAGCCAAGGCACTTCCTGGCCCACATATGGAGTGTACAGAAGTCCTCACAAGCAAATAACCCCTTCCCTGTACACACACATCCTCAAAAGAAGCAGAGTCCAAAACAAAGGTCAAGCTGGAACGGATTTTATGTAGCCTAAGTAACAAGCTTCCACTGATATTCATACCAAGGGCATTACCCAGTCCAATATTCTTTTCTTTTTCAAGTTATCATTACAGTGAAGTGAAAATGTATATAATAAGCAATATAGATCTATACACCACTACAATGGACAACAATGAAAAGAGCTAGATGTCACAACAACCTAGTACCTGAAACTTCTTCAACTCATTGTAACACTACTACAATTAAAGGACAGCATAGTTAGGGACAATAAAACAGGAACCTGTTATTATCTTAGTAATGTCAACCTACTGTGGATAACTTTGGACTACTCTGTGACTTAATTTTCTTTTACACTTAACTGAGATATCTTCTCAGTTATTGCAGATGGGACATACTGTGAAGTCACTATAAGATAAGTGTGTTTCATTTTATACAATAAAATATTCCTAAAAGTAAGCCAAATTGATGATAGAACTTTAAAAGAATCCCACTGAGAACGATCACCTTTCTATAGCCTCACATTAACACAGAAGCCTTTAACCTTAAATTGGGAAGCAGCAACATATTAGGGTTTTTTCCCTTCAGTTTGCTTTTTTCCCTGAAAGCTGAAAAATTTGTCCAATTTCAAATTAGGATTGACCTAATTTCAAGTAAGTGTTGATTCTTACATGCAAAACTAATTTTTGATATAGTTATAAATGAATTATATTTATAATTTAAGTCAATCTAGATTTTCACAGACTATAAAATCTTGGTTAACCTAAAAAATCAGTTATCATTCTGTTGTAACTAAATTTTCTAAATAACCATAGAACTTTGTTTTTATCTATGGTGAAGAGCTTTTAAAAACTGTTATTAGTCTAAATTACTACTTCAGTTAAGTATAGCATATTAAACCTAATTTAAACTTCCTTTAATAGATAATGATTTATCAAAAGGTTCAGTTTTGTTATTCTATGAGTCTTTATTATATATGCATATGATTTATGAAACTGAGCTGAATTAAAATTAAGCTAAATATTTGTTAAATATATTAACCTGTTTTGGCCTCAAAGTTCCTTTTTTAATGTAGTCCTTGATATAAATTTGTTATTCTATTACTTCTTCCATAAAAACTTACTCCAATGAGCCAAACAGAATACAGTAAGTAACATGGAAATTCTTTTTTTTACATAGTTATAATGTATTTGCGATTTCAAAATTCATTCCAAAAGCGAAATTTTAATGTGAAAATAAGAAATTTTTCAAATAAATTTTATTAGTTTTTTTTGCTTTTATATGACCTAAATTTCTACCTCTATCTCTCACTTTCTCCTTTCCCAAAGAGTCACCACCATATATGACAAATAATTTTTTAAAGTAAAAACAAAAAAAAAAAAGAAAAAAAGAACAAATCAGCAGGGTACCAATACATGAAAAAAAAATCTAACAACATATACAATGGGGAATATCAATTCATAAAAGTTATTGCCTAATGAAAACAAATTGTTTACAGGGTGTTACACCAAGCTAGAAAGAATTACAGTTCTAGTGATGGCTCATCACAGGAAGAGTTAGCCATATGGTGAGTTTTATGACCAAAGCAAACCAAGAAACCATCTACTAAGGCCCAATGAGGATGTGATATATACCAGGAGGTGTGTCTCACAGTAATTAAATTGTTAACATTTAATATGTTTTTACTTGTGTTTCTGACAAAAAAAACAGGACATGTGAGAAAAGGGAAATTCTGATTAACTAAGGGTTGTCCTTAATTAAGACTTTACAGCAAGGTAAAAATCATGTGTTAATACAAAAGATATCTAAACAAAGGATTTTTTCTTTGCGCAATTTCCTTTTAAAAAACTCAACTGGAATTAGGAAGATATCTGAAGAGTAGACTAATTTCACTTGTATATTAAATGTCAAGTAACTTTCAATAGAGGCTTCTAGTTTGCTTCAAGTGAAGAACACCTTTACCAAATTCTGAAGTGCTATTTTCTTTGCACAAAGTAAATAAATAAATGCCCTTTGAAATAAATAAATTTAGTTACATAGCAGCCACTAGAGTTCCTGTTTTCTAAACTGTACTGTTGTTTGTTATGGTTACAAAGTCTATATCAAAATGATATTAACAAGAAAAGGCCATTTTATTAACTGAAACAATGCATTAATAATGTGGAGCAAGTATTTGTGGAAATAACTTCACTAGCCTCTGGCATAACATTAAATATTCCAACGTTAGCAAACAGGAAAAGAGCCACCCATGACCACTTCCATCAATGTGGTCACATGCATTATCCAACAAAGAACAGAAGTTTAGTAAACTTTATTCAAAAGGACCCTAGTATAACTGTGGAAAGACTTCTAGTCATGTAATCAACAGCAGGGTAAAAATCATGTGTTAATATAAAAGTTATATAAACAAAAGATTTTTTTCTTCATATTATCTTTCCTTTTCAACAATTTACTAGAGTTAAGAAGATATCTTAAGAGTGGACTAATTTCATTTGTACATTAAATGAGAAGTAACCTTTAAAGTAACCTGTCCTTATGAATAGACTGTTGGGTCTGGAGTCAGAAAAAACCTTGTTTCAAATCCTACCTCTGACACTTACCAGTATGTATATTAATGCTGGGCAAAGCACTAATTCTGTATGTGCTTCAGGCAACTTTCTAAAACTTAGAAATCAAATAGTTACAATCTGCCTTGGTGGAGGGAAAATCCCTCAAGAAACTCAAGAGTTTCTCAAAAACCAAGAAAATCACAGATTAACCTCACATTTGTAGTAATCGTCAACATTATAAATAATAATTTACCATTTTCTTCAACATTAGAGTCCTATGAGCATATCTGATGTCATCAGGAGTTCAGTGTTGGAAACAAGATATAGGTAAGGGAGCAAGGAACCAGAAGCCAACACATTTTTAATAACACTATTCCTTTTAGCATGTCCCAAGGGATTAATAAAAGTGCCTAGAAGAGACACTTGTTCCCAATATTATCTTTTCTTTATTCCTACCATCACTATGACACATAATCCATCAATTGCAAAACATCACAGAAAGTTCCCAGTTCTGTTACACTAAAAAGCACACGTTTCTTTTACCTGTATTCTGTTTAACTCTACTACAGGACCATGTTGACGATCTCTCACCATAGTTGCTTGTACAACTTTTCGGAAAGCTGCTTCCTAAAAATTGGTCAAAATGGACAACTTTAGGATAAAATATAAAAAGTATTTTTAATGATGTAACACAAGAAACTATAGCAAATTCACTTATGTAATTCATTTAACACTTTTATGAAAGTTTAAATAGTATAAAAATTATGTTCTGCTAAACAGATAACAACTAGAAGTTCTCTTTTTAATGCAGTTGAAGTCTGAAATAAGTTGAAGAACTTTCAGAGCATCTCTCTTAATTATTAATACTACATATGGATACAAGGCAAGGCAGGTATCAAGAAATTTATATGAAGTGAGTAAAGATATTATTAAATTCCCTTCTGAAATGAGAAAAGACAAAAGGTTTCATTTTGGTAAACCAAGGTTGGGTGGGTGTGTGCACGTGTAAAATCTCTTTCTGTTTTGACCTGTGAAACAAAAAAGATGCAGAAGCCATTGGTACTCAGTGGGCTGACTGGAAGAATTGATAAGCCAATCAAAAGTTTTTTCTGGGACTAGCAGAAATCCTTCACAGATAATCTAACAGCAAGAATTTACTAAATATCTACTATGTTCCAAGGCACTGTGTTTAGCACTAGGCATACAAAGAATTAAACTTTCTACTCTCGAGGAGCCTACATTCTAAAGGAGGGACATGTATATATCTAAGTATATACAAAATAAATACAAAGAGCATAAATATGAATAAATACAAGGTAATTAAATATAAGATAATTGGGGGGAGGACAGTGTAAGCATCAGCAGTTGAGGCAGGAAGATCAGGAAAGGCTTCATGTAAGTGGTATGGCTTGAGCTGGAATCTGGGAGAGAGAAGAGATGAACAAATGGATTCCAAGCATGGAGCATAATCAATGTAAAGGCACAAAAATGGGAGATGAAGTTGCATGTGCAAGAAAGAGAGAGAAGGCCATTTTGGCTGGACTATAGTATTGGAAGGGAAGTAACTGTCCAACAAGGCTGAAAAAGATAATCTGGATCCCAGCTGTGAAAAGCATTATAAGCTAAAGAGGAATTTATATTTATCCTAGAGGTACATCATGTCTTGAAGCCATGTAGCATCACTAGAAGAAAAGTAAAGTTAAAAATAAAGGTATTTTTGTTTTGGGAGAAATGTAGGGGTTCATAGGAGAAAGTGCGTAAATTCCCAAAGGTATTCTGGTTGACTTTTCTCCTCCTGATCTATTCTGTGTCCAGTTTATTGTTCATCAACAGTATTTGTCCAAGATAGGAGCCACTGATGGAATAGCTCTTTAAGTTTTCCATCCAACTGCATGCATCATCTAGACAATAAGCATACATTATCTATCTACTTTTATCTATCAATTTCTTTTGCGGAAATTTAGACCAAGCCATTAAATGTGATTATACATGTGAGGATGTACTATAATGTTCCAGGGCTTGCGATCAAAACAATGTCACCTACATGTAGAAGGAACTGGGACCAGTCATTCACTCAACTAGTATTATTAAATGCTTACTATGTGCTAGACCTGGTGTTAAGTGCTACATCACACCAGCTATTGGGAATTCCTCTTCCATTTGTACTGCATGGGCATTTTCTGTAACAGTAGCTAACATGTTTGGCTAGCATCTCCCTCTACTGTTTTATTTGATATCTTATATTAATAATGAGAGAATCAAAAGATTTCATTGTCACATCCTCAAGAACTCCTGTAGGATGTTAGCACATACATGAAAACAACAATTTGAAGGAGAGCTTTTAAAGCAGTATTTTGCTCTAAGAAATAAAAATAATCAAACTTTTTGTAGTCAACAAACTACAAGCAAAGTCTTATATTCTCTGTATACCTTTTTGCTAAGATGGGCTATTCTGTAGAAAAATAAGTAGGCAAAAGCCTACTTATTCCCTTCTCATACAACTTCATTACAGATAATGTAATGTAACCAGAGGTGGTACGCACATGCCTGTAGTCCTTCCCGCTAAGGAAACAAGGACTAGTGGATTAAGCTCTGAAACTGGCGGAATGATTGAGCTCAGGAATTCTAAATATCAGTGGGTTAATCTAATCAGGGATGTGTATGGTATGGCACCAATATGGTGAGCACCTGAGGGCCACCAGGCTACCTTAACACAGTGAACTGAGCCAGGGCAGAAACAGTACAGGTCAAAGCTTCAAGGCTGATCACTATGGAAGTGGGCCAATGAGGGACCACTGTACCTTTATCCTGGACAAGAGAGGGAGACCCATTCTATTTTTTTAAGATGTCTTTGATGCATGGGTAGATTAGTTTCAAAAAGATTTCTTTTTACAAAGATCAGAAAGTAGGCATATGAATTGGTAGATATTGATAGTCTCTCAATCACCTTTGTTCGGTGATAAGGCTTTTTTCCAAGCATCTAGAATCCATCCTCCTGTCTTTTCAGATATCTTGGGAATCAATCTCTCAATGTCTTCAAAATTATATTACCTACAGTATGAAAAGTCCACTTGTTCTTCCCAGTACCTGGAACATAGTAGATACTTGTTGTTTGATTACCTTTGCTACCTTAAGCATTACTTTTACTTCCCTCATGTAGCACATCTAGGAACTGTGATGTTAAAATGTGGTGATTTCACTGTTGTCAGCGGGAGAAGTTTGTTATAAAAAGCTTAGTGCCTCTTTTCCATTTTTTAACCTGTTGTTCTTGTTTCTGTTTGAACTTTAAATGCTTTGGGAAGTTACGACTTAACTGGGTAGGCAAGGTATTATTATTCCCAGGAAACCAAGACTCAAGAGAGATTAAGTGAATTGTCCACTATCACACAGCTAGTGAGTACTAGAGGTAGGATTTTTAACCTGGGTCTCCTTTATAATTTCAGTACTCTTTCTGCTATGCCACATTGCCTAGGTAAGGTCAAAAGACTTGTTCAATAGAAACCTGAATGTTAATAGCTTTTGAAAATAACAATAATCACAACACTCTGAAAATATCAAAGTATCAGTCTTTTACTTTCTGTGATTACTTTGAACATGAACCCTCTCAGAATGATACCATGTTTAATACTTGTTAATTTCCTGCTCTTAAAAATACAACTTGGCAGGAATTTTCTTCAAATCTTCAAGTGGGGGAAAAATTGTCTTATTTTCTTTTTAATAACCTTTATTGCCCACAATCCTAATTCAATCAGATCTTTCTACACATTTCAATGAATATTTCCCTTAGAAATATTTATTATTTCTTCAAGAACCATTCCCCAATAGATAAGTTGTCAAAGGATATAACAGTTTTTAAAAAAAGAAATGCAGACTAGCAATGATTATATGAAAGAACGCTCCAAATCACTACTAAGAGAAGTGTAAATTAAACCATTTCTGAGATTTTACCTAAAAGACATCAGACTGGCAAAAATGACAAAAGACAAAAACATTAAATGTTAAAGGGGCTATGAGGGGGAAAGGCAGACTAATGTACTATTGGTACAGCTGAAAAGTGGTCCAAATATTCCAGTGTGGTGTAGCACATAAAAAATATGAAATTATACCCTCAAAGTCATCAAATTATACACACTGTTTGACCCAATAATACTAGTACTAGGCATGTATCTCAAGGAGGTCAGAGGGAAGGTCCCATACATACAAAAATTTTTACAGCAGTACTTTTTTGTTAAAGCAAAAAACTGGAAAGAAAATGGCTACTAACTAGGGAATGGATAAATAAATCAAGGCTTAAGAAATATAATGTATTATTGCTACAGTATAAAAAATTATAAATATCAGTTGGAAGGCTGCTTTTTATAAAGTGATCTACATAGAATGAGGACAAACAGCAAACAATATATGTGATAGCCACAATAATGTAAAAGAAAATAGCACAGAAAGACTTTAGAACTCTAACCAAGGCCATGACCAATTCTGACCTCAGAAGACTAAAGGTGATGCACAGCCCCTGCCTCTCCACAGAGATGGAAGGCTCAAGGGGTGGAAGAAAGTGAAACATGTCGGACATGATCAATGTGCTGGTTTGTCTTTTTGCTTCACTATATATATGGTTTGCAAAACACTTTCCGTCCATTATCTCATTTTAAACTCACAACTACCTTTCAAGGTAGATGTAATTATTACCCCCATTTTATAGATGAAGAAACAGACTGAGAGAGGTTAACTGACTTGTCCAAAATCACAGTTCCTAAGTATTTATAGTAGGATTTGAATTCAGGTCTTCCTGAATCCAAGTCCAACACTATTTACTACCCCACCCAGTTGATGGACAAGAGAAGGTTCTATAGGGAAGTAGGAGAAGAGAGTCGGTGAGGACAGTGCTATTTTTTTTTTTTAAGTTTGAATAAAATTGAGGGGGAAAAAGTTAAGGGGAAAAAAAAAAACAAGCTTCCCCAAATCTCTTCTCTCAAGTCAACTGTCTCTTATTCACAACCTGATCATCTAGTCCGTGGGATGCAGTTTTTCTGAAGGGGTGAAGGGAAAGTAGAGCAACTTCAAATTACCTAATTTTGCTAGTTGCAAGAGAAAAGAAATTTAAATTACTAGTTAAAATCAAAATTTTAGATCACTACAGATTTTTCCTATCCATGTTTCTCTCTGGCCTCAATAATCACAAATTATATCACAAATGATTATAAGAAAAATTATGTAAAAATTGTTTTTAACCCTCAACACCGTACATCAGTTCTCCTGAAACCTGTATGTATTAGTACACAAATATCAGAATTCTAAATCTTTTCCAGAAAACTTCATGTTATTCCAACATCATTCTCAATGTATGCCTTCTTAATGCCAATACCTAATATTCAGAAGGGAATTCTATTCTATAACAAAATTCATAAAATCCTACTTAAGTCACTAACATAGCACTTCTACCTAATTACCCAAATATCGTCTCTGGTTTATACAGACCTTCTTCTCGTTTTCTAGCTACTGTATTCATAGGATCATATATCCAGAGCTAGAAGTCACCTCAGAGACAATCTAGTCCAACCCCCTGCTTTTTTAGATGAGGAATAAGAGGCATGGGAAGGTTAAATACTTTGTCCAAGGTCATTCATGTACTAAGCCTCAGATGTGGAATTTGAACCCAGGTCATATGACTTTAGAGTCTCATTTTTTTTTCTTACCTCCCTTGACAGATAAGTTTCTGAAAAACAAGAATTATATCTGACTCATCTTTTCAAAGAACACATTCAACATCCAATCCATAGGACAATGTCTGGCACATGACAGATGCATAATCAATATTTCTCAAACTTATCAAAGATGATTGGCTCATGAAGGGGTATGACAAATAATCCACTGCAAAGGTAAATTTTATAGGTGAATTAAAGTAACTAACTTCAAAGCTAGCTAGCAAGAGAACCAGAACATTTTATATTTTATAGATAAGAACACATCATTGCCCCTTTATGACAACTCCTGACCTAGATATCTAATTTTAACGGAAAACCTCAAAGTAATCCCTGCTCAATAAGTTCTCTCAAAAGGATAGTTTAATTTTACTATTTGCTGAACACTTCAAAAGGCATCATTTTTGAAATCTTATTCTATCACTAGCCTATGTATTCCCTAAATAATTTCTGGTAAAACAACATACTGTCTGCCATGTTATAATTCAAAGAGAAATACATATGGTACCTTTATATAACTTGTAACTACAGTTTATGATATTATGGAACCTGCTGCTGGACACTCACTATAACCACAATGATCAAACTAGTTTTCTAACTTACCTTGCCACAGTCTCTAATAAAATAGAACTTAGCATAGCCTCTTTAAAAGAGGCTCTTCAAAAGGTTTTCATGATAATGACAATCAATTATTGTTATTATTTTCGGGAGGCAATTGGGGTTAAGTGACTTGCCCAGGGTCACATGGCTATTAAGTGTCTGAGGCCAAATCTGAACTCAGGTCCTCCTGACTCCAGAGCCAGTACTCTATCTGCTGTGTCACTTAGCTGCCCCACAATCAATTATTATTAAATGATATTGAAAGAAGAAATTATTTTACAGTATCTAGAAGAGCAATAATATATAGTAAATTGAACTGTTTTACTTCTTTTGTGTCTTCACATTGTTCAGCTTATAATTTTTTTAAAAATCGTATTCCAAGTTTAATTAAGCAAAGTTGCCATTTAAAATGCTATAGCAAGGATTCTCACAAGTACCTTTCCCTGAGATATCAGAATTCCCCGTAATGTGTCAAATCCAACTGAAGGTCCTTGGCCAGTTTCATCAAGACGCCCCTCGAGGTCAAACATGGGAATGCATGGACAAAAGAGTTCTGAGATATGATGCAATAACAACAGTCTGTTTCGCAAAGATATTATAGGAATTTCCTGTAAATGATTATATTCCATAGGAACCTGGGAAGGGGGAAAATTGAAGAATCAGATATGCTTAAACATCAATATGTTTAAATATAAAATATTCAGAAGACTGTACAGAATTCCATCCACCACCAGGCTATCAAATGGATCTTCCTAAAGTGAAAGTTTGACCACGTCACCCTAACAAAAACCTGCCCCTGCCATCTAATAAATTCCAGTGGCTCCTCATTACCTACAGAATCAAATATAAAATCCTTTTATAGCTTTCAAAGCCCTTCATAACCTGCCCCCTTCAAACCTTTCCTGGTCCTAATTAAAGTTAATGTCTTCCTTCTGAGATTTTCTCAAATTCATCTTGTATACATCTTTTGACATATAGCTATTTATTATATTGTCCATTCCCCCCTACTCCCATAAATTAGATTTTAAGCGCCTCAAAGACAAGAACTATTTGCATCCCCAGCATATAGCAGTGTCTAGAACATTGTAGGCAATTAATAAATGTTTAATGATTGACTTGATCTTCATCTCCCATATTTCCATTTCAAATTGTCTACTCAATTCTGACCTCTTCATAAAGAATACTGAAACAATCGATTTCACTAAAGGTCTATTCCCCCCCTCCCCATATGATTATATTTGGTTCTGCCAAATGGGTGATCCTTGCTTTTAAGTCTTTATCTTTGCTTTTTGGAATATTTGATTAATAAGTTCTTTTCTCTTTCAGACTGGAAGCTGCCAAATCTTGTGTCATACTTAATATAGCTCCTTGGTATCTGAATTCCTTATTATTGGCTGCATGAAGTACTTTTTCCTTTTACTTAGAAGCTCTGGATTTCGGATAGGATGTTCCTGTGAATTTTCATTCAGGGATTTCTTTCAGAAGGTGATTTGAGGATGCTTATTTTCATTATACTCTAACTGAAAGAGTTCTGGGAAGTTGTCACCAATAATTTTTCTGACATTTGGTATTCTGGACAAATTTTAAGGTCACAGTTTTCAGATAACTTGAAAATTTTTAGATTATCTCTCCTTGATCTATTTCCCTAGTCAGCTGTTTTTGATACTATGCTTTTTTTTGGTTTTTGGTTTCTTCCCCAATTTTTTAGCTTTACTATTTCTTGTTGTCTCACTGAGTCAGTTTTTTGTTTGACTCATTCTAACTTTCAAAGCATTCACTTCTTGGGTGAGGTTTTCCACCCATAAAATCAACTCTTGGTTTTAAACAGATGTTACTTATCAAATTATTAAATTAAGGAAAGTTTGAATTTTTTTTTATTTTGTCAAAAGCTTTTTCGTCATTAATTGCTATGTCTTCATTGTTTTGTTATTGATTCCTCTTATTGACCTAATCATATATTCCTTATATAAATCCAACCTGGTCATTATATATACATAATCATTTTAATACATTACTATAGATACTTCATTAATGTTTACTAAATATTGATATGATACTCATGACAGGTATCAGATCACAGTTTTCTTTCTGGCTGTTATCTCATTAAAAAATCAATAAAATATTTGCTTAATAGAAGGAATTTGGTAGGATTCTTTCTTTTCCTATTTTTGCATACAATTTAGGTAATACTGAAGTTAACTTCTCTATGAATGTTTAATAGAATTCACTTTTAAATCCATCTGATTCTTGGATTTTTTTTCTTTGGGATTTCATTTATGGCTAACTCAATTTCTTTTTCTGAGAATGAGATAGTTAATTTCTCTATTTCTTGTTCTATTAGGTTAATTAAAAATTTCATACTTTTAGACATATTTATTGATCTCATTTATCAGTTTTGTTGGTTTGTGACTGGGAAAAACAGTTCTTATTAATCTTCTCTAACCCTTTATTTGTTACTTTCCTTTTCATCTCTAATACAACAATTTGGTTTTCCTTTTTTATAAAAAAAAAAAAACTGATTTAATTTTTTCACTTTTTAATTAGTTACCCGCCCCCCGCCAAAGAAACATACTCTAGCTTTATCCATCAACTCACTGGAATTTTGTTCTTAATTTTATTTCTTTGATTTTCTGAATTTCTATTTTGATGCTTAGTTAGGATTTTTTTTTTAATTTAATGCTTCTCTACTTTTTTTCCTTTTTTTTTTTAAACTGCACACGAATTTAGTGATCCATTCTTTCTCCCTTTTGTTGACAAAAGTGCTTAAAGAGATAATTTTTTTCCAATTTACTTGGCTGCAAATCAGAAGTTTTGTCATTTCTTTTTTCCTTGTCATTTTCTGTGAGGTTGAAATCATCTGTTGGTACTATGAACTGTTTTTTGATATCAATATTTTTTTAGAATTAAATCAGTCTTCATTTAAATTTGTTTCTTCAAATGTTCTTATTACTTATAATTTTTATCATGTGGTCAATAAAGAATGTTTTAACATTTTTGCTCTTCTGCATTTATGAGGTTTTAAAACCCTGTCACATGGTCAATTCTCATAAAAGTGCTATGCACCTTTAGTAATCACCACAATGCTATCAAATCCAATTTCTCTACAGTTCTATTCAGATCCTTAACTTCTTTCTTGTTTACCTTTTTGATAGATCTGTCCAGGTCTGAAACATACATTAAGGTTCCAGACTATTATGGTTTTATTACTTTTCCCTGTAACTTTTTCTGTGGGGACTTACATGCTATTCCATTCAACGCATATATATTAAGTACTGGTGATATTTTATTGTCTGTGGTGCCTTGAAGTATAATATGTTTTCCTGTCTATCACTTGTAACAATGTATATTACTACTGTCTTTATCTGAAATCATAATTGCTGCTCTCATTTTTTTTTGTTTGCCTAAAGCATAATTAATTCTGCTGCATCCTTTCCTTTTTATTTTGTATGAATCTTTATTTTTCAAATATTCTTTATAAAAAAAAAATTAGATTCTGCTTTGTAATCCATTCTGCTATTCTCTTTCATTTAAGGAGCTAGTTCATCCAATTAACATCACATATGAATGAGTGTCCGTTTTATTTCCTTTCACCATATCCTCCTGGACTTTCTCTGTTTTTACCTTCATAAAAACGTGACCAACACACTAACAAGCTATAAAAGAAGTGATTTACTTTCACTCAATTGCCCCTCCTCTTCTTGCCTCAGTGTTCAATTATTGGTTCTTACATTTTTTTGTTCTTAATGCCTCTATTATAATGCACCCTCTGAAGTCAATGTTTGCTTTGCTTATTAATATTTACTCCCTGAATCTATCTACCCTCTCCAACTCCCCTTCTCTCCGTGCCTGACTGCTCCAGAACCGAATCTATCATATTTCTATACCAAACTTTCTGGGGGGGTGTGGGGGTGTGTGTGTGTGTGTGTGTGCGTGCATGCGTGCGTGTGTGTGTGTGTGTGTGTGCATTAAAATGAAGGTCAGATGATGCCTATTCCTCTAACACTTCATTCTCCAATTTTTGTCCATTTTTTTTAATACCCCAATTTTGGAAAACAAGTCCTGCCCCCCCCTTACTTTCCTAGTGTATTGTTCCCTTCCTTTTATCTTCTCTCTTCCTTAAGACTACCACAACCAACAAATCACCCCAGCCCTTGTGCTTATCTTATTTAACCATCAGGATTTTGAAGGATCACTTTTCTCCAATAAGGACTAGCATTTATATAGTCCTTTAAAGTTTACAAACAGCTTAACAAATATCTTCTCATTTTATCCTCACAACTCTGGGAAGTGGGTGGCATTATTTTTATTATTCATTATTTATTTATTATTGTTTTATATATTCATTTTATTATGTATTCATTATATTATTATACATTTGATATATTACATATTTAGCATGTTATTTATTACATAGTTGTTATATATTTTTATATTATATTTACATAATAGTATTTTGTTATTATATATTCATATTTTTATATATTATTTCATCTTGCATTTGCATTGCCTGAGGCTGGATTTGAAGTTATGTTTTCCTGACTCTAGTTCCAGTGTTCTATTCATTGCACCACTTAACTATACAAATGAATTTAAGCACTAACTCATCAGTTCACCCTTTCCAATTTATCAAAAAATTTACCTTTCTAAAATTCTCTGGATTCATGTATTTGCACTTGAAAGTTTCTACTCGACTACATTCTTTCCATCAGAAATGCTTCAAAGGATCTCTGTTCCATTAATGGAGTATAGGAATTTATTTAGTCTTGTAGGTTAAGTTAGTCTTGCTCGAAAGCTTTTATCTTTTATTTTTTCAACTATTGTTTTCTAAGATTTTTCCTCTCCTTCATGGAAGTTGCTGCCCAATCTTCTGCAATTCTAACTATGGCTCGTTAGTGTTTAGTTCATTTCTTTCTTGTAGGTATTTTTTTTTTAATTTTAGCTGTAAGCTCTGGATTTTCACAATGCCATTCCTAGGAGTTTTTCATTTTATGGTTTCTTTCATAACATGACTGGTGGATTCTATCTATTTTACTTTGTCCTCTAGTTCCAATGGATCTGTACAGTTTTCTGTTATGATTTTTTGAAATATGTTATCCAGGCTTTTTTTTTTTTAAAACATGCTTTCCAAGGAGTTTCATGATTCTTAAAATAACTCTCCTTGACCTGACCTCTTATTAAGGTCATTTATTTTTCACAGTAAATATCTTGTAGTTGTTTTTATTTTTTATTTTGTTATTATATTTAGTTAGTAGGCAGCTAGATGGCAGAGTGGATAGAGCAATGGGTCTCGAATCAGGAAGATCTGGGTTCAAATTTGGCCTCAAAAACTTACTGGCTAGTCACTTCAACTCTGTTTGTCTCCGTTTCCTTATCTGTAAAATGGGGATAATAACAGCACCGAGATCCTAAGGTTGTTATGAGGATCAAATAAGATAATGGCAAAGACTTAGCACAGTGCCTAGCATATACTAGGCACTATATAAATGTTAGCTATCATCATCATCATTATTATTATTATAATATTTACTGTCTCCTAAACTCAACGAATTAATTCTATTTGCTCTCTTTCAATTTTTAGGGCGTCAGCTACCTAGGTAAGGTGTTTTGTTTACTTTCCTTCTGATTTTTTTCCTCCAGAACTCTTATTTAATTTTTATCTCTTGCTTGTATGTAACAATTCAAGGGTTCACATATAATTTTCTTCTTCTGCTCTTCTTAACATACTGAAATATTTGTGTTGATAGCTAAAATGTAGATTTAAGTAGTAATAAAAACTTGTCTGATGGTGTCACCAGTTTGGCTGCTTAAACAGCATTTCAATCCTGTGGAGTTTAATTACTACTGAAAAGAAATGTGTGTGATGTGCCTTCAAAAAGAGTTGTAGCTACTAATATACAAATCCATGTATATTTTACAGAGAAGAATTAAAGCACTCTGTAGAGAGACAAAGTCAAAGTGTTCTTTGGTGTAAAAACTGGAGTTCTTAAGTAAAATTGTTACTATCTTCTAATAAGAACAGAAAAACATTTCTAAAACTGTGATGAAAATCCATGAAAAAATGTGATTAGATTTAAATATATTAGCTTTAATGCAATTTTTCAGTTACACAAAACAAATTAAAATTAAATCAAAATTAAAAATTAAAGCAAAGTTAAGCTACTGGTTTTTTTTTAATTTCCTGAATTCAAAATTTTACAAGTGTATTGTCTATAAATGGGCACTTTACCTGTGTTGGAAGCTTCCCAGCATTGGCAGGTTTACTAGTGGACCACGCTAGGGTGTGTGCTGAACCACAAGCCACCCTATTTATCTTTTTACCCTGAAGTGCTGCAACCAGCCGAGGTCTCTGGATTGCATTAGTTGTTCCATCCCCAAGTTGCCCTTCATCATTGTCACCCCAAGTATAAACTTCACCTAAATAAAGATTAAAAATTACTTTTAACATAAACCCTAGTGTAAAGGAAAGGTTTACTTTAAGGGCAGTTTCCTTTAAATGACAGAAATGAAGTGTTAAAATCTCTAGGATTCACTCAAAATTTGGAACAAAGCTTATAAAAATATGCTCTAGCTACTCAATCATTTCAGGTCCTCTATTATTTGTCACATACAAAAGAAAAACTAACAAAAGGAAAGTCTATAATAGTGGATCCTCCAGTTCTTCTCTATAACTCTTCAGGCACTTTTTACCTTCTAAAAACAGACCTTGAAAATATTTGTTATATGGCATAGCTATCTGGGAGGGGGTTAGAGAAGAGTCACTGGGAGAAATTCTGAAGATAAAAAAAAAGATATCAATAAAATTTATTTAAAATATTAAAAATAAAGCTTGATTTATTGGGGCCCTACCATATTTCACAGCATAAGAAAATTTGCCATGCTAGAGACAAATAATGCTGAATTATCATGAACATAGACTAAGGGTATAATTAGTAACTGTGTTCATGTTAGAATCTTATTAATAGCCATGTAAAATCTAGACTATAAAATCTTGGCTTATAATAATAAACATGTTTCCCCCTATACATAGGTGACACTATATTATCTGATATCTATATACATTCTACAGTATACTGATGCTCATTTTATCAACTATCAACTTATAATCTCAATTACTATTTCCAAAATGGGTTTACCTAAGAACAATACCTGATTTATTTATAAGAGAAATATCTGAATGAAAAACACCTATTCCTTTAACTACAGTGTCTATAAACACTAAAAATGTCCAAAAGCCTAGAGTATAAAAAAGAACAGTTTATTTAAAATCAATATTATAGGATTTAGAAAAATAACTTTAGAGATCACTGAGGCACAGAAAGAGTTAAAATAACCCGCCTAAAAGACAAAGATTATATTGGTAATAAAGAATAATGGAACTAAGATCTGAATCCAGGACTTAAAATTCCAAATTCAGCACTCTTTTAGCTATATCATGCTGAATTCAACCATCTTGAATACATCATGAATCTCAGGATTATAACTGAAAACTATTATTGCCACCTGAATAAATTCTTTACTTAAAATTAGTTGATTTGTAATTTGGAACATTCTGAGTTAGAAATGAAGATTATTTTTTCCATATACATACCGTCTTCAGTGCAGCACACACAATGTAATGAACCAGTAGCAATTGCAATTACTTTCTTTCCCTGTAGTCCTTGCACTTGTCGAGGCCGTCTAACATGGTCATCTGATCCGTGACCCAGCCTGTGATAATCACCTTTACCCCTGTGAACAAGTGAAACTGATTATTTATATATCTTAAACTATATCCTGTCATTCCCACTCCCACTCTTAGTCACCAATGATTTTATGCAGACTAACTAAAGTTTTTAACTATTTACAAGTTTACTGCCTGATACCGGGCTGTTATATAAAAGTTAGTGGGGGGGGGGGGTTTTTTCCTAAAATTATAGAATCTTATAAAACCAAACCTACCAAGTATAAACTGCTCCAGATTTGGTAAGTGCAACAGAAAACTGTGATCCACACTCTACTTTAACCACTCCAAGACCTGTGAGAGAATCAATCTAAAGAACAATAAAGACAATTAAAAATAATTAAATGAGTTTCTATTGTATGTGGCTACTATCAAAACATTATAAAATTAATGGAAGTATTAAAATATTCTTATCTTCGGGCAGCTAGGTGGCGCAGTGGATAGAGCACTGGCCCTGAAGTCAGGAGGACCTGAGTTCAAATTCGGCCTCAGACCAAACACTTGACACGTACTAGCTGTGTGACCTTGGGCAAGTCACTTAACCCCAATTGCCTTACCAAAAAAAAAAAAAAAAAAAAACCAAAAACTAAAATAAAACATTCTTATCTAAAACAATCAATATTCTAAATCAACAACTACAGGCTTTATATTTCAACTATAGATTTTATTTTTTATATATTTCAGGAATAACATAATCCCTTCAAAGTTTACTCCAATATTACACATCACAACCCTTCCTTTCAAAGGGTTGCTCTATAATCCATGAACCATTATTATTTTTTTATCTACATGCATATAAGGTTGAAGATATTGATATCTGTAGCCTATACTTTCTCACTTTAGTTTAGTAAACAGAAGGAAAAGTGGTAGAGAATGTAATATTTTCCAAGAAAAAAAATTCTTTCATGTGTATTAAACTAAAATTATACTCTGATTCACTTATTAAATTATACTAAGTGAACAATAAAACACAATTTTTGTTTTGTTTTTGGGGGCAATGGGGTTAAGTGACTTGCCCAGGGTCACACAGCTAGTATGTATTACATGTCTGAGGCTAGATTTTAACTCAGTCCTCCTGAATCCAGACCCGGTCCTCTATTCACTGCGCCACTTAGCTGCCCCAAAATACAATTATTTTAAACATTATGACATATCTAGGTCCCTTTTTGAGCTTTCAAAATAGGCAATGAGGAAAAAAATACCTTTAAAATAAGCTTCTAGAACAAAAATATTTATAGTAGCTGTTTTTGTGGTGGCTAAGAACTGGAAATTGAAGGGAGGTCCATCAACTGGGGAATGGCTGAACAAGTTGTGATACATGATTGTAATGGAATATTATTGTGCTACAAGAAATGACAAGCAGGATGATTTCAGAAAAAAACTGTTAAAACTTACATGAACTGATACAAAATGTAGTGAGCAGAACCAGAAGAATGTGTACATAGTACAGCAACACTGTACAATGAAGAACTGTGAATGACGTAGCTATTCTCAGCAATATAATAACCCAAGACAATCCCAAAGGACTCAAAATGAAAACTGCTGTCTCCAGAGAAAGAACTGATGTTGTCTGAATACACACTGAAACATACTATTTTTCACTTTCTTTCTTTTTTTTGTTCAAGTCTTCTTGCATAAAATGACTAATAAGGAAATGTTTTGTATGTATAACCTATATCAGACTGCTTACCATCTCAGGAAGGGGGTAATGGAGAGAAGGATAGAATTTTTAACTCAAAACTTAAAAAAAAAGAATGTTAAAAATTGTTTTTACATGTAATTGGGGAATTTTGCTTTTCGAAAAAAATGAGCTTACAGCAAGATATATTCTTAACAATCTCTAATCTTAAATAAGGAGTCATTATTTTGAAAAGAACATAATTATGTGGCTTTGAACACCAACTTGGGCTCCATAAAAACTTGATTTTGGTCTATTACACAAGAAGAGAGGAGCAGCTTGTGACAACAGCACAAGTTTTGGAATATTAAGGTTCTTCCTGAAATTAAACTGATTCCCCTCTTGACAATTCATCTTAAATCAGCACCTGAGAGCTACAAGATACTAAACTCTTTCCTGGTAATTACTAGGTCGGTGTCTTACATGTTGTAGAAATAAACCTGCAATACCTTCATTGGCACTTTACAGCCATCACTGCCTCCTCTGCCAAGTTTTCCATAGTCCCCATCACCCCAGGACCACACAGTATCATCATCAGTGAGGCAAAGCGTCTGTGCATCCCCACTGCCACAGGCAATATCAATAACTCGATAGCCTTGGAGGGCTTCCACCTTATGGGAAAAGAAATCATCCTATGTTTGAACTTGATATAAATATAATTAACTATCCCATTTAACCACACAGATAAAATAAAGCCAGAATGCAAAGGGCAGAGCAAATCTCATAAGTGTATTTGACAATTTTAAGGTAAAACAATGGAAAAAGATGATGCTTATATTCCTACTAGAACATACAGGAAATAATTTGTAGTAATATTTAAGAAATCTTAACTTTAGCAGAAACAATTCTCAGTAAGAGAGTAAAAACAACAGCTAGAAATACTATACTGAGGTTACTCTGATGAAACAGTACCTCTTCAAGCCTTAGGAAGTAATCATCACCACTCTAAATAAATTATTAATCTACTATTTTACAAAATAAAAAATTTCAATTAATTTCAATTAATCAACAAGTATTTGTTAAGCATCTGTTATCTATCAGGCACTATACAGGGTGCTAGGGATATAAAGAATAAAATCATCTCTACTCACAAGTAGCTCATATTTCTTGTGGGAAAGACAATGTGGAAAACAACAATTATATATATAAAAATATACAGCATAAATACAAAATGAATAAATATAAATATGTACAAAGATGTTAAATACAAGTTAGTTTGTGAAAAAGTACACTAGCAGTTGGGGAATCAAGAAGAGATTCATGGAGAAGACTGTGTTTGAGTTGAGTCTCAAAAGAATAAAGGGACTGAGGTAGAGTTATACATTCTGGGAGATGGATTATCATGTGTGAAGAATACAGAGAAAGTCAGCTTGATTGGATCAAACAGTACAGGAAGAAGAGCAGTGTTCAATGAAGGTGGAAAGATGGGTGGGAGCCAGGTTGTATAGCACTTTAAAAGCTAAAGTGACTTTATATTTTATCCTAGAGACTAACATGAAGCCCCTGGAATTGCTTCAATGGGGAAGTCACATGGTCTGAACTGGGAAGACTGGAAGGGTGGTGGTGCCTTTGACAGAAATAGGAAAATTTAGAAGATGGTAAGGGGGAAAGATAATGAGTTCATTTTGAAAATTTTGAGTGAGATGTCTCCAGGATATCTAGCTTAAAAAAATCCAATAGACAACTGGTGATACAGGAATGGAAAATAGACTGACAGATCTGAGAGTCATCCGCAGAAAGATAATAATTAAACCCATAGGAATTGATGAGGTTAGTGAAGGAGTATAGAGGAGAAAGAGAAGATGACCCAAGGCAAAACCCTGAAGAACACCCACATTTAGGAGTGTTAGTGAGATAGTGAGAACTAGGAAAGAGAAGTGTCATAAAAATGTAGAGAGGCAAGAATGCAGGAGGAGAGGGTGGTCAGGAATGTCAGAAGAAGCATAGAAGCCCAGAACGATGAGGACTGAGAAAAGACCATGAGATACAGGAATCACTGTTAACTTTGGAGAAAGCAGTTTCAATTGGGTGATGAAGTTGGATGCCAGATTGTAAAGCGTAGATCAGTAAGAAAGAAAGAAGTAGAGGTAGCAAATGGAGTAGTCTGGCTGAAAAAGGGAGGAGAAATATAGGACACGAGCTTAAGGGGATGGCAGGCTCTAGTGAAAGTTTAAGGATGGGGACACTTAAGAATATTTCACAGCAGGAGGGAAGAAACCAGCAAAAAGGGAAAAGCTGAAGATTTAGCAGGCAGCAAAGGGCAAGGTGGAGAGGGCAAATGATTGAGAAGGCAACTACTGAGGATAAGAGGGCAGGATTCAGTGCATTTGTAGGTAAGTTAGCCTTGACAAGAAGGGCCACTAAACTGTCAGAGATTAGGGAAAAGGAGAAGAGAATGAAAGATGATTTCCAGGGTTTCTGAGATGAAGTGAATGGGAGAAGTGGGACTCAAGCCAAATAATCTCAATTTTCTCAGCAAAGTAAAAGACCAGGCCTTAACTGAGAGAAGAAGTAAGGGGGAGCTACGGGAAGCCTGAGGAAAGCAGGGAAGGCAGAGCTTCTGTGGGGACTGAGAAATTAACTAGGAGAACTAAAATGAATTCCCTATGGCAATGAGGACCCATTAATCCCATTAATCACCAAGTTGTGAACCTTCCTCCAGCTGCCTTCTGTAGCTTATGAATAAGAGTGGAGGAGGTAAATCAAGGGAATAATCCAGATCTAAGGTTTGGCAAGAGATGAGCAGTTAGAAAGCGGGGCTAGGGATATGAGACTAGACACAGTTAACAAGAAATGGTCAACTATTACGCTGAGATTATAGACGAAGGAAAATCACAGAGCCAAGGTAATGAGAAAGTAATTAGGGTTGGAAAAAGTGAAGAGCTCAGTGAAGATGAAGAATGCATTTACGATGGGTAAGGCCTAAAAAAAGTAGAATTATAGGAGGCAATGGCAAGATAAGAGAATGTCACTTTAAATATAAACTGTCAATTTAAATGCTATTGTCAACATATACCAAGATGACATATTTTACCCAGTAATGAACTCTTTGTAATACACTTATATTCCTTCCCTTTTCCCTATCCCCTTGTCCCCACCCTACCAAATCAGCCTATTTCCTTACATAAGAGAGAAAATAAAACACAAATTTCTTAGTTTCATATGATTCCTGAGGTATCTTTCTTACCAGCTTAGGTTTTAACTGATCTTCACTATCACCATGACCTAGGCGACCATATCTTCCTTTACCCCATGTATAGAGGTCACCAGCTGCTGTAATACATGCACTGTGAGCTCCACCTGCAGCAATATCAACGACTTCTATTCCTCGCAAAGATTCAATTACACGTGGGCGATCACAGGGACTGCAAAAAACAAACAAATAAAATCTATACCAAAACAAAGTTACAATATATGTGTGTCTCCTAATTAGATAAATGCTAAACATAATGAGTGTTATTTTGTTTACTAGTACAGCTAGCAAGATACATTTGCTCATCCATACACACACACATACACAGAGCCAACTACATTTCCAAATTACTTTAATCGCGGCACATTAATTAACCACAAAGATTAACAATATTTTTTCAATATCAGCTAAACATCTGAAGTTTTATTCCTTTAAGTCATACCACTTTAAACATAAAACCCTTAAAACTTAAAAGTGCAATTGTTATTAGGACTATAAAGTGTTGATATACAAAAATCAGATGTCAGTTACAATGAATAGATAGCAACCATATTAGCTAACCCTTTTGCGAAACCATATAACCTGAACATACTAGTAACATCTACACATAAGATTATCCATAATTTGGGGTTAGGACTGATTAAGACACAAGAGTTATGATCAGAGATATTTAGAGAGGACATCATGCCCCCTAAGCCACTGTTTGGAAAAAAAGTTCCTTCCAACTGAGTTGGAGTTGTATCAAGCAAAGTTTTTCTCAGTAAAGCAGTCATTAAAAACTAAGTAAGTAGTCATTAAAAATAAATCAATGTCTATGACACAGCCATCATCACCACTCCCTTCCTTAACCCACCCAGTCCCAAACCTCTCAGAAACATTTTAATTTAGATATGCTTTTTAAACATAATTGTATTCATAAATAGGTGTCTATTTGAACATTTTAATATCTCAGGCAAATAATGTCTTCATAACTTTTATACAAAAACAATCACATTTTAACATTATAAATGTTGAAACTAAATAGGCATAATTTGTATTCAAACCCATAAAACAATGTTTATTTGTATTACCTTCTGTTTCCATGCCCCAACTTTCCATCTTCAGCCTCACCCCAGGAATAAACTTCTCCTTCTGATGAGAGTGCTAAGCAATGCTTTCCTCCAGAGTTCACAGCTACTTTCTTTATAAACACATGCTGAATAGATTCAAGCAATGTTGGAGTGGAAACTGACTCCGTTCCTCCAATTCCTAGTCGGCCACCTGCTCCATACCCAGTAGCATACAGCTAAACCCCACACCCCCAAAAAGAAGAAGTTATAAATCTGATGAATTAAAACATGTTTTCAATTAAAGTAGTCTTACAATTAGTTAGCAAAAATCTAAATAATGATCCTGGATATTTTCAACACAGGAAAAAGAAAAGTGAAAATTTTTAAATTAACTCATCTTTATAAAGAGTATTTTATAAGAATGACCAAATCAAACACTTGGTACAGGCTTACAAGCAGCATTGGCAGGGGGAAAACAACTATGTTTAATTCAATATTTATTAAACACCTACTATGAGTAAAGAATAGATGTGGGATACTAGAGATTCAAAGATGCCCAAAGGTCCTTCCTTTTAAGGAGTTTACAATTTAATGGAGTGGGAGAAAAATTATGTCTAAAAAGAGTAAAAAATAGGTACAAAGAGATGTCAATACTGCTTTTAGCTAAAGGGTTTGGGGAATATGGGAGGAAATCATGGCAAACTTCATGGAGAAAATGGCACCTGAGCTGGACTTTATAGAATTTCAAAATTTGGAGGATTTCAAAAAGCAAGAATGAGCAAAACATATTTTCCAAACATGGGGAAATAATACTGAATCACACAGGTGAATATGTCCGAGATGCAACTGAAGAATAAGAGTTCAGATTAAGGAATGAAGCTGGATATTTTCCTCATCATCCTCCAAGGCCCATTTTCTTCCATGTGTCCTTACTGGATCTACCCCTCCTCAACTGTGTTCTGACCAAGCTAAGTGGTCAGAAGCTAAGTGTTATTTTCTTCAAATAGTCCTAGAGTTCTTTGTCATAATCTCTCCTTTGCCCCCAACACTCCTTTGATGCTCATCATATTTGTGTTTCAGAAAGCCATTCCCAAACAAAATGTGTAATCACTGATGAGCCAGACCTACTTCATATATCTGTCTTTGTATGACCAGTAATCTAGTACAGTGCTCTCTAAATAATAGGCATTTAATAAAAATGTCAGTTGAGTTGAAACATAAGACATAGGAGTTATCCATAAAAAGAAGTGATCAAGGACACCCACACTTGAGGTAGAAGATGAGCCAACTAAATAGATCAAAAAGGAGAAATAAGACAGGAAGAGAACTAGGAGATCAAAGTGTCATGAAAGACAAGAGAACTGAGTACCTGCTATAGAAGTTTATCACATTTTTTTTTGCCATGGACCCATTTGTTAGTCTGGTGAAACCTATAATCCTCTCCTCAGAAAAATGTTTTTAAACATTTTTAAAGGGAAATTCATAGGATTACAGAGGAAACCAATTACACTGAAATAGTTATCAAAATATTTTAAAAAATTTAATCGACTCTAGATTAAGAACCTCTGATCTGGAAGGGATAAGTAGATGCTACAAAAAAAGTAGACAGGATCATATGGCAAATTAGACTGAGCAATCAAGGGTTCATGAATCTTCTGTCTTCTCTAATAGATTGCCCTAACTACCATCTCCCCCATGTCATTTTCAACATATTATCAACTTTCTAAACACACGAAGAAAATACAAGAAAACTGTCCTCAAACTTTTGTATATAGGCAACAAAGCACAGAAAGACTGAATCAACAGCTCATTGTCAGAGAGAACCTCAATGTTTAAAACTGTATGATAAGTAGTAGTTAAATTTCAATTTCATCAATAATTTTGCAGAGTCAGAAGAAAGAGCTTGAAATACACAATTTATATAACCCAGGATAATTCTCCAATCATGAGGAAAAAACAATAAAACAATAAATTCCAAAAAGCAAAAGGTGCTCAAAGCTGCAAGCCAAATAAATATATCCTGCAAAGGTGAGTCCAATAACCATTCTGCTGACCTCAAGTATCACATCTACAACTGCCTATTAGATATATCAAATTACCTATCCTACAAACATCTTAAACACCACATGTCCAAAAATGAACTTATTATCCTTCCTCCAAAACCCTCCTCCCCAATTTCCCTATTACTGTGAAAGGCATTACCATCCTCCCAGTCACCCAGGCTCCCAATCCTAGTGTCATCCTAGACTCCTCACTCTTTTTCACTTACCCATTCCCATATTCAAACTACTGCCAAGGCCTGCTGATTTCACCTTTGTGACATCTTTCAAATACTCCCTCTTACCTCTACTGATACCATCTTGGTAAGACTCTCAACTCTTCACACCACAGGCCTAGTGCATAGCCTACTGGTTAATCTGCTCTCTTCCCACTGCAATCCAACCTCTACTCAGCTATGAAATTAACCTTCCTAAAATGCAGATGTGATCATGTCACTTCTCTACTCAATAAATTCCAGTGGCTCCCAATCACCTCCAGGATCAAATATAAAATCCTTTATTTAGCATTCAAAGTTCTTCAATGCCAAGAACTCACTTCATCCTACCTTTCCAGTATTCTTACAAGTGGCAGCCCATAACCCACGTACTACTCTGAGATCCAGTTGCACTGGTCTCCCTTCTGTTTCTCTCATAAGTAACTCCATCTCCTGACTCTGGCCATTTTTACTGGCTGTCCCTCTTGCCTAGAAAGTTCTTCTTCCTTTCCACATTCTGGCTTCCTTTAAAGACCCAATTAAAATCCCATCTTATATAAGAAGTCATTCTCAATCCCCCTTCAATTCTTGAGCTTTCTCTATTAATTATTTCCTATGTGTCCTAAGGGCAGCATGTTCATACACAGTTGTTTACATACTGGTTCCTTCATTAAGTTATGAGGTCTTCAAAGGAAGGGACTGTCTTTTACCTTGCTTTGAATCCCCAGTGCTTAAGCACAGTGCTTGGTATTCAGTGTGTACTTAATAAATGTTTACTGAATGACTAACAATTAACAACAACAAAAAAAAAAGATTCTCAGCAAAAGAGAGGAACTTGAGGTATTTCTGCATTCAAAATCAAAAACAAAACAAAATCAGAAAAAAGCTTAATTTCCTAATCAGAATGAAAACCACAATTAACAATAATAATAATAATAGCTAACATTTGATAGCACTTTGCTTTAAAAATTATTATCTCATTTGATCTTCACAGCCTGGGAGATCAGTGCTATTATTATCCCCATTTCAAAGGTGAGGAAACTGAAGCAAACAGAGGTTAAGAGATTTGCCTAACTAAGGTCACACACTTTCTAAGTGTCTGAGGCCAAATTTAAACTCAGGTCTTCCTGACTCCAGGCCAGGCATTTTTTTAGTACGCCATCTAGATGCCCTAATTACAGAATCACAGAATTTAAGGTTATAATATCAGAGACTACCTAACCCAAACCACAACTAAAAGGAAATCCTATAATAAACCCAATAAGAAGTCATCAAGTCTCTTCATTACAACTCCTGATGAGGAGAAACTCACAACAACTCCATGCAAACCATTCCATTTTGGACCCCTCTAACTATTAGGAAATTTTTTTCTGACATCAAGCCTAAACTTTTCTCTTTGCAGCTTCTCCCAGTGTTCTTGTTTCTGCTTCTTCATGACAACCTTTTAGAAACAAAGCTATCATGTTATCTGAGTTTTTTTCTTCTTCAGACTAAACATCCCCACATCCTTCAATTAATATGACAAAAGTTCAAAGCTCTTCAATGTGTTTCCTAAATTGTGTCATCCAAATGGAACATAATACTCCAGAGTGATCTGACCAGGAGAAAGAATAGTAAAGCTTCACCTTCTTATCCTTGAAAGCTCTCTCTACATGCAATCCAAAATCACGATAATTTTTGGGCAGCCACATATCATACTGCTGACTCATGCCAAGTCTATTAAAACCTCCAAATCTTTTCTTAACCATGCATCCCTAATTTTGAACTTCTTGTGTTGATTTTTTTCAAAACAAATGGTAAAATGGTAGTAAGATGAAATTCTATAAGGATAAAGACAGAGTCAAACCATTGCTAGAGCCTGTCCAGATGTTTCTGGAGAGTTATTACCCAGTTTGTTAACTTTCCTTTACAGCTTTTTGTCCATCTGCAAATCTGATACAAATGTCATCTATGTCACTAAATGAATGCCATCAAAGTCACTGATTTTCTTCCCTTTTGTTCTAGACTTGTGATTTAACTGGTATGGTAAAGAGGTTCTTAACCTTTTTTGTGTCATGGACCTCTTACGCAGTCCGGTGAAGTCTGTGGAACCCTTCTCAGAATAAAGTTTTTAAATGTATAAAGTAAAATACATAGGATTACAAATGAAACCAATTACACTGAAATGTAACTAACAAAAAAATGTTTTTAAGTTAATGGACTCCAGGTCAAGAACTCTTGGTATAGAGGAGGCTCCTAGGTAAGGGGGATACAAAATGAGATCCCTTTACCTATATAAACTTGCACCTTCTCTACAATTCATAGTCTTAGAAAGTAGCCAAGAGGTGCTGATATGATTTGCCCAGGATTTATCTATCTGAGCTAGCTTTTTATCCACTATTCACCCTGCCACTCACTGATGAAAGTTTTAAATAATATGAGGTCAAGCCTACAGCCCCAAGATACTACACTGTAAACTTCCTGACAAGGTGAAATTGAACATTAAAAATTACTCTTTGGTATTAGTCATTTAGTTCAATTGTATTATCAACTAGCCCATATTTCTCCATCTTTTCCACAACAAGAGTGATAAAACCAATTATAGCAACACATATTAATTAAATACTGATCACGATAGAATATTTAAGTCTTAACAGCTGTCTTCATTATTTAAATAATGACCTTAAGTTACTGGACTCCAGGTCAAGAACTCTTGTTTTGTTTTGGTTTCTTTTGCCTTTCTGGTGAGGCAATCGTGGTTAAGTGACTAGCCCAGGGTCACACAGCTAGTAAGTGTCATGTGTTTGAGGCCACATTTGAACTCAGGTCCTCCTGACCCCAAGGCTGGAGCTCTATCCACTGCACCACCTAGCTGCCCCTCCCCCCTTTTTGGGCTACTTTCTAAGCCTAAAAATTATAAAGAAGGTGCCATTCTACATAGGTAGAGGGATCTCATTTTGTATCCTCCTTACCTGGGAGCTTCCCCTATACCAAGAGTTCTTGACCTGGAGTCCATTAACTTAAAGTCATTGACCTTTGCCATTTATATCCCATGAACGAAATTTAGTTTTTACAGTCATTAGTTATTTCCTGGAAACAAGTTGCAAATTGGGTGACAATCTTCTGAAACCTTCAGTTACTAAAGATGTGAAACTCAAATTTTAAAATCATTTCCATGTTCAGGACTTAAAAGTTTTAGAAAGTCATTTACTTTCAAAAATAGCATTTCAAAGGTAATCTAAGGTAACTTGAGATACAATCTGTGCAACTGTCCTACAAGGTTGTAAAACACAAACAAGTCATTAACTCTGACTAATCTTTAACTACAAAAAACTAAATATATCACTTACAGGAATAAAAAAGTCTTACCTTTCCATCAGCAGTTACCGCAAAGAGAGTCTGTTCCCCCCCAATTAACTGTACAGGCCGCAAAGCTGCGAGAGCTTCACAAGGTGTTGGAACTTTGACTTTTGCTCCTTCAATACCCCCAAGCTGGCCTCGGTGATTGTGACCCCAACCATAAATGGTTCCACTGCCTCCAGCAGAAAGAGTCCAGTCATCAGGTCGCCTACAATGGACACAACACTTAAAAAAAGTACATATACAGAAAAACATACCTCTTACCCAGGTTAAAGCCATCTAGAGAAGCAAATGTAAACATATTAACACACAATTAATTTGTTTATATTATAATAACCTGTTCATCCACTGGACAAGGTGCTCATCTTGTTCTCTCTTAAAAATGTCATGGCTCTCATGGAGAACATCCAGATTTTCACTGTCAGCCATTAACTCCCTGATTTTCTTTGCCACCTGGTCAACATTATTATGATATTAGAAATCAAACATTCTCTTCCAATTTAACAAAGGCAACAATAAGAAAATAGGAATAACAATGAAATTTGTACCTCAAAATAAAAAATATGATAATTTTTTCATCTCGCAACTAAGTCAATACAATTCTGTCAAGCCTAAAACATTAAAAATGAAATGTTTAAAGAAAAAATGCTACCTAAAATTTTTAGTCTTTATTTTCAACAATTTGTTTTTTTTATTTATATATTATTCCTTGGTAGAAGTACATCTAAATTTTGACATAGTCACCTTTTCACACTATAGCAAAAGGTATGAAATTTCATGGATTCCAAAAGCAATTTTACAAATTATTTCAGAATAATCTGCAATACCTCATCAAGGAAAAGGCGAGGTAATGGTGTTCGTTTGTCCAAGGCTACTGCAACTCTGGAAGCCATACAGTATCTTCTAAACCAAGCCCATTTGTGTGTCTCAGCACAGCAAGGAAGAGTATCCAGTTCTAGGTCACAAGCAAGAGCTACCAGCACCTGCAACCATCAAAAAAATAAAACTTAGAAAATAATTAAAAAAACAACTTTCTTATCAAAGTCATATTTTATGAAGTCACTGAAAAGACTAAAGACATTAAATGTGAGTACTTTTAATCACCTCCTTTATACCTCAGCAAAACTATCTAATCTCTCTTCCTTCCATCTGGTTTGAGAAGATATACCCCTGCTCATCATTAAGCTAATCTCTCCACCTGAGCCTTGATTCCTAAACCACCAAGTCTCTCTCTAACCTGTGTTACTCTGGCCAGTCAGCCAAGTCATAAAATCCATTTGCATTGTTTTGTCTTATTAAAAACCTATGTGTATCTGTCCACCTCCACCACACTTTCTTGGTTCTTTTTTCCTACTTTCCTCCTGATTCCTCATCTAATTCCCAACCCCTTAACATGGATATTCCCCAAATATCCATCCTGAGCCCTGATATTTTTCTATCCTCTTTCCGAACTCAATTCACAATGTCAAAATATAAGCCCTATTCCATCAGTATCCTAAACTCAACATATGCCATGCCCCCAAACTTTCTCTTCTACCTTCATTATTTTGCCTGTGGAAAAATAATTCTAGCAAGCAAAAAGCTTTGATGTTATACTTGATTCTTCCCTCTCCCTCTCTTATATCTCATCATCTATCTAGAATTGTCCAATTCAATCAATCAATAAACATTTACTAAACAACTCTCATGCACCAGGTACAAGTCTATGTATAATTAATTAAGTGCTTACAATATGGCAAGCACTGTGTTGATGATTAGGACACAAAGAGAGAAAAAAATAGTCCCTGCCTTCAAGTAGCTTACAGTCTAAAGGGGAAGTTACATAAATAAATACACATATAACATACAGAGTAGATGTCAGGTAATTTTTGAGAGGAAGGCTCTAGCAATTGAAGAGGGGTGGGAAGATGAAGCTCCCTGAAGAAGGTGGGTTTTGAAGCGAGTCATGAAAAGAAGCTAAAAATGCTAAGATATGGAGGTGAAGTGGGTGAACATTCTATGAATGGGTGACAACTAGTGAAAAATCATGGAGACAGATGTTGAAATGTACTTGAGGAACTGTAATTAGGTCCATTTAATTGCAGTGAAAAGTGTATTGAGGAAAACAAAGTGTAAGAAGACTGGAAATGTAGATAAGGTCAGGGCTGTACAAGTTTGAGTGTGGGGGATGATGGGCTGGGGAGAAGGTTGAGAGATGTTCAGACCTATGCTTGAGGAAGACAGGGGTGATGAGGGCCTGAACTAGAGATGTGACTATTGGAGTGAAAGAGAAAATGACACATGCAATAAATGTTGTGAAGGTAGTAATTACAAGATTTTACAAATGGAATGGGTAGGGGAGGTAAATGAGAGTGAGTATAGAATGATACCAAGATTTCAGGCCTGGGTCTCTGGGAAGATAATGGTACTTTAATCAGTTATAGGGAAATCAGAAGGGGGGGAGGGGTTTGCGGAAAAAGTCATGCTGAGTTTGAGATACTTACAGCATATCTAATTCAAAATGTTCCCTATATAATTAGTGATACATGACTGCAATTCCAGAAAAACTAAGCCTGGATATATAAATTTGGGAATTGTCTTCAAAGACAATCCCCATGGTGTTGATGAAATCACCAAGTAAGATAGTACAGAGCAGATAGAGAAGAGAACCCAGGACAGACTTTGGAGGACTCACATGGTTAATAGACTAGACAAGCATGAAGACCTAGCAACGGAAACTGAGTAGTAGTCAGACAGGTAAAAGGAGAACAAAGAGAGAGCAGTATCACAAAAACTTAAAGAAGAAGAAAGAGGATCCAGAAGATAATAGTGTCAGATGCTGTGGGTGAGTCAAGAAGAATGAGGACTGAGAAAAGGACATGAGATGTGGCAATCAAGAAATCATCATTAACTTTGAAGTGAGCAGTTTCAGTTGAATGATAAGGTTACAAGCCAGATTACAGAGGGTTTAGAGAAGAATAAAAGGAAAAGTCAAGTACAGATGACTTTTCCAAGCAGTTTAGCTGAGAACAGGAGGAAAGATATAAAACAATAACGGGTGAAGGTGATAGGGCCAAGTGAATATTTTTTAAAAATATGAGAGGCATGTTTGTAGGCAGCAGGGAAAGAGTCAGTAAACAGGGACAGACTAAAGATTAGAGAAAAAGATCAATATGCTAAAGAAGACAGGAATGGGTGGGACCAAGGGTGCATGCAGAGGGTTGACCTTGGCAGGGAAGAGGGTCACTTTTTCATTTGAGACCAGAATGAAGAAGATAATGAGGGAAGATGTATAAGGAATGTGACATAAGGAAAAGCAAAGAAGAGGTAGCCTTCAGCAAACTGCTTCAATATCTTTGATGATGAAGTAGGAATGCAGATTTTTAGTTGAGAAGGTAGGAGGAGGGAATATAATGGGAGACTGGAGGAGAGAGGACGAATGAAACAATCGCTGTGGAGAGTGGTATAAAGACTCAATTAGGGACTAGTAAGACTTTGTTGACGAGAGGGCCTAGTTGAAAATGGATAATAAAAACTTTAGGTGCACACTATCACCATGGTTTCACTATTTCCCTTAGCTCAGCAGCATGTGAGTAGGATTTAAGGAGGAAGATGGCAGGAGTAATACAGGTTTGAAGTTTGGCAAGGAGGGAATGGAGACAGGAAAGGGATTTAAGAGTAAAAGAAAATGTAGAATCAAAATGGTTCACCAAGGGCTTGAGACTGAAAAGGGAGGAAGATGGAGCAAATGCAGGGGTGATAGCTTGGGAAAGAACTAAAGAGAAAAAGGAATAGAGGTCACGGTAAGGACAAAGAACAGAATTAGATGTCAGAGGGAAGACGGAATGATAAAAGATCATGTCAAGACAAAGATATTTCAGAATTCATGAACATGAAGTAGAATATTGGTGGGGTAATAGCAAGATTAAGGGTATGAAAGGTGTAGGACCAACTATGTACATTAAGGAACTGGGAAGTCAAGGTATTCCTCCCCTCTCCTTTCCAGTTCAATTGTCACTGCTCTGTTATGGGTTCTCATTACCACCTGCCTTATAATGATTTTCCTTGTTCCACATTCCTCTCATCTCTCTGTCCTACTATCCCTGGAAGATAATGCATCTTGTGCAAAGATCTAATTATACCATTTCTCTTCTTAAAAACTGTCAACAGTTCTACCTTTTTTATCAAGGAAAAGACATAATATTTGTCCGAGGTTACAGAAACTCTAAGACACCACATATTATTTTCAAAATAATTTGTGTGTCTTGGAACAAAAGGGAAAAAATCATAGTGCCAGTAAAGCGATGCAATGTATAGAGCACTAGGCTTGAAGTTATGAAGTCCTGAAGCAAGGAAGACCTGAGTTCAAATCCAGCCAAAGACACTTACTAGCTGTGTGACCCTGAACAAGTAACCAACCCTCTGTTTGCCTCAGTTTCCTCAACTGCAAAATGGGGATAATAATTATACCTCCTTGCATGGTTGTTGTGAGGATCAAATGAGATAATATTTACAAAACACTTAACAGAATGACTAGCACATAGTAGGCACTATTTAAATATTTATTCCCTTCTGTTCCTCAAATTAATTTTCCTCCCATTTGTTTGATTGCTCCTTCTCTGTCTTCTTTGCTGGATTATCATCCATGTCATTTGACCTAGACTGTCTTCTCTTCTCCCTCTACATTATTTCACTGGGTGATTTCATCAGCTCCCATGGACTCATCTCTGCCTCTTGGCTTCCCTGGCTTCCATCAAGTCTCAGCTAAAGCCTTACCTTCTGTAAGAATCCTTTGCCAGATCTCCTTAATCTTAGTGCCTTGCTTCTGTGACTACTCTTATTTTATCCAATCTATCTTGTTTATACATGGTTGTTTGCATATTGTCTATACCATTAGATTCTGAGCTCCTTAAGGGAGTCTTTTTGCCTCTATTTTTATCTCCATTGCTCAACACACTGCTTGGCACATGGTATGCACTTAGCAAATATTAGCTGACTGACTCTGCCTAGCATTCAAGGCTCTCTATAACCCTGGTGTCACATTACCTTCATTCTTTTTTTTTTCTTTAAATCCAAACTACTGATTTCATTGTAAAAGGAAATCTTGATGGGGAAGCTTCTTCCACCACTATAATTGCACTGATCTGCAGCTTATAGTCTTAGAAAGAGGCCTAGAACAGTGAGCACTGAAGTGACTTACCCAGGCCACACAGGCTAGTATGTGTCAGAGGCGAAACTTGAAAAGAGGTCTTCAAGATTCTGAGGCATTCTGTCTCTCTCACACCACCTTTCCAAACTTATTTCATATCATTACTTCCACATAGTCTATGCCCCAGCCAACAAGGATTATTCTCTGCTTCACTCAGCTCCCAAAAAATACAACCCATACATTGTCTTAATGCCTTTGCTCTTTTTTTACCTAGGCCCAGAATATCCTCTTCTATTTACTGGTTGAATTAACTTTTTAAATAATATTTTCCCAATTATATGTTAAAACAATTTTTAACATTTTTAAAAGCTTTGAGTTCCAAATTCTATCCCTTCCTCTCTCCTCTCCCTGAGATGGTAAACAATCCGATACAGGTTATACATGTGCATTCACATAAAACATTTCTATATTAGTCATTTTGTAAAAGCAGATTCAAACAGAGAGAAGAGAGGGAGAAAGGGAGGAAGGGAAGGACAGGGAGAGGGGGAGGGGGAGAGAGAAAGGGAGAGGGGGGAGGGAGGGGGGGGAGAGAGAGAGAGAGAGAGAGAGAGAGAGAGAGAGAGAGAAAGAGAGAGAGAGAGAGAGAGAAAATAGTATGTTTCAGTATGTATTCAGACAGTATCAGTTCTTTCTCTGGAGGCTGATAACATGTTTCATCATAAGTTCTTTGGGATTGCCTTGGATCATTGTATTGCTGAGAATAGATAAGTCCTTTACTGTTCTTCACCGTACAAAATTGTTGTATTTACAACTTTCTATGTGCAATGTTCTCCTGTTAAAATCCTGTTAAGTTCTGCTCACTTCACTTTGTATCACTGTCTTTCCAAATTTTTCTGAAACCATCGTGCTTGTCATTTCTTATAGTATAATAATATTCTATCACAATCATATACCACAGCTTCTTTAGTCATTCCCCAGTTGATGGACATCCCCTTGATTTCCAATTCTTAGACACCACAGAAAGAGCTGCTATAAATATTTTTGTACAAATAGGTCCTTTTCCCTTTTTAAAAAACCTCTTTGGGATACAGACTTAGCAGTAGCATTGCTGGATCAAAGGATATGCACAGTTTTATACCCCTTCGGGCATAGTTCTACTGGTTGAATTCTATCACATATTTTTAAAGCCCAATGTATTTGTAAAAATGTCAACAAAAAAGTTATCCATAATTAAAGCTACAAGAACTTAAAGTACATCACTATTACATCCACTATCATCCTTTTTTTTCTTTTTTTTGAGGGGCAAGAGGAATGGGAGGCAGGAGAGGGTGAATAATTTTCAGCTCCAATGTTAATATCTAAGTTTATCACCATGGAAAAAATGTCAAATGCTGCATACTAAATTTCACTTGGCTTATTTTTTTATATTTGTCCCATTCAACTTGTTCTATGTCACTTATTTAAAAAATACTACCTTAAAGAAAGGGCTGTGGAGCAGTTGTTTGCCTCCTCTAACAATTGGATCTTCATATTCAAATTGCCTTTGCAAAGCTTCTGGAAGACCTTTTACCAAAGCTGCTAGAGCACTACCTGTAAAACTCTGATGAGGAAAAAAGAAGAGATAAATTAATCATTACACATACTGGAACTCAAACTGTTGAAATAGTTGATGCCTAAGGATCAATATCAAAATGTAATATTAATAGCACAGCACCTGGCACCAGGCAAGCACTCAATATTTTATGCTTTTTCATTCATTCATTCATTTATTCATCCTATACTTTAAAAAACAGTTAAATGGGGAATAGCTAGGTGGTGCAGTGGATAGAGCTCTGGCCTTGGAGTCAGGAGGACCTGAGTTCAAATCTGGATTCAGACACTTGACACTTACTAGCTGTGTGACCCTGGGCAAGTCACTTAACCCCAATTGCCTCACCAAAAAGTATAAAAAAAACCCTAAAAATAATAAAAATAATAAAATAAAAACAATTAAATGCTAGTTAGCCTTATCAAATGGGTATGGAAGGAAGAGATAAAAATGACAAAAGGTCAGTGAAAAAAAGTCAGATAAGGAAATAGAAATCGCTCAGAGAACCTTAGATAAAAGGATTTACAACTTTCTATTTGGAGTCCTTTTCATAGAAAAAAAAAAAGTAGATTAGGAGCAATCCTTCCTTCTCAGGCTTATAAATCTCTTCTGATTTTTTTTAAGTGAGAAGGATGAGGTTCATTGTTATCAGCAATTGATTTTACCTAACATGACCAAATCAGGAAGCACTGGACTGCTTAAATACTTAGTGAAAAAAACTACAATGGTATACTAAATGAATGCGTATGTAACATGGCTCTGCTTGGACAACTGCAATCTAGTCACTGTGAAATTGTATAGATCACATGGACAATAAGATAAATTATTAGTAACTTCTAACTGAAAACTTATAACTATATTTCATTATAAGTGAAATTTTAGTCACTGTTAATTGTGGGAAGTTTAAGACACAAAATAGTGATCTTTTAGTATAAGAAGTAGTGTGATACAGTGGATAGGGAGCAGGCCTCAGAGTCAGGAGACCAAGATTCAAGCCCTATCTCTGACATGTGTCCAGTTATGTGACCCCACGGAAGTCACTTAATTTCTCAGTGTCCCACACAACTGTTAAAACCAAAACTGTCAGAGCAGATGCAACCTGTTTTATCAAGAGATTCTCTCTCACTTACCACTCATATCTAATCATCTGCAATTTTCTCCATAAAATCTCTCACACACATCCACTTTTCTGTATTTTTACAGCTACCACCCTAATCAGACCTTCACCAACTCTCATTTGGACAATTTCAGTAGCGCCCTAGTTGGACTTCCTGCCTCAAATCTTATACTACAACTCATCCCCTTTATAGCTGTCAAAGTGCTTTTCCTAAAATGTAGGTCTGGCCATGTCAACTCGCTACTCAGTAAATTCCAATGACTATTTATTACCTTTATGGTCAAATATAAATTCCTCAGTCATTAAAAGCTCTCACATTTTCCCCTTCCTATCATTCTAGTCTTTTCTTTTTTTTTTTTTTTTAAACATTCTAGTCTTTTAACATATAATTCTCCTTCCCATATTCAGTGATCTAGCTACATAGGTCTATTTGTAGGTCACAGACAATGAGCCACGCCTTTGCTGTACCCCAGGCAACCAATGTTGAATCCCTAGGATTCCTTTAAAACTCAGTTCAAGCTCCACTTTCAGCAAGTTCTTTCTTGTTACCTCCATCAGCTAGTGCCTTCCCTTCTAAGGCTCCTGCTTCCAACCATCTTGTATTTATCTTCTGATTTATGTACATGTTATCTGCCCTGCTGCAATATCAGCTCCTTGAAGGAAGGGACTGCTTTTGTTTCTTCCTGGTTTCCCTAGCCCACAGCACAATGCTTGGCATACAGTAAGAACTTAATCAGTAAATACTTAGTGACTGAATGACTATCCTAAACTGGTAGAGAAAGTCCTTCACTGGGAATCCTATGCAAATAAAATCATGGGTCTGGTTAAAAAAAAATCTTGTAATAGAGTAGGAAAATAGATGCATGAATCTTTGACACAACTTGGCTAGAAGTTGGTTTAGAGTGGTATGAAGATATCTGCAAGCTTCAAATCCTTGTTATTCTCATTCTAAAATTTCTCATTTCTTTTCCTAACTTACATCATTTAATGATTAATCCAGACAGATAAAGTTTTAGTAGTTTTAAGAAATCTTCCTACCATGGTTCTTGTTTCTCCATCATTATCTCCAAGTATCCTATTTATATTGATTGATTGTCCAAATTCAGTTGTAAGCAGTTTCCTCAATCTTTGAAGGGCCCACATCCTGTGACCAGCAGCTGAAATCAACAAACAAGAATCAATCTGAGGCTTAAAAAGCCATTATCCCCAACTAAGAAAATGCTCACTCATGTAAATTTTACACATACCTAGAGCACTCAATTGAGCACATGCTGCAAGTGATGCTGCCAGTCGAGGAACAATACTTCTATTGGAAGCTAAATTTAATCGAAAGTCTAACAAGCATGTGACCAAGTCCATTGAAGGACAAGAAAGAATACAGCGATCTGAGAGAAGATCTTTAGGGCCTGTAAGATTAATAATTACAAACTGATTAGTGCTTGAAGAAGTTACAATAATGCAACTTAAAATTCCATCTGTTTAACACATTTTTTACTAGGCATTTAAAGATGAAAACCAAGAATTAAATTAGTACTGCTACAAAATCAGAATAATTAAGAAGCTGTATTGCCTATATTAAACATTTTAATCTTAAATTGGCCATAATCTTTATCACATTATAACTTGAAAAAAAAACATTTTAAGTACAAGTTTTTATGAAAGTTTGACTACAGTTTTAAACTATAAAAGCTTAAATTCAAACCCATTCTTTTTTAAGCTTAAAACTTTAGAATACCTTCTATTATACAATACGTAATTGATTAATATTTCCTTGGTTAGATTTCTTTTAAATAGTTTCCATCACAGTACGATGTAAAGGTAGCACTCAAATTACTATGTTAAGAAAATTAATTTGCTAAAAATAAGAAAAATACACATTTACTTTTAAATAAATATTAAAATACCAGCATCCCACGAAATATGTTCAAATTAAGCTATAATTTCTAATATAACACATCCTGCTTTACCTGCGGCTGGCATAATGGGATAGACAGTGAATCGCCAACCCCATCCATTCACTGATCCATCACTGATGAACTTCCATTTTAATTCATCTCCAGGAATTCGAAGTTCACTGGACCAGTCAGACCATTCTCGACCTTAAAAAATGAAATAATAAACAAATAGGTTTTACATTAATATAATCATCTTGAGTCCATAGCTTTGAAGAGGAAAGGGAGAGAGAGAAAGTGAGGGTGGGAGAGGAGAGGAAAAGGAGGGAAAAAGGGAGGGAGGGAGGAAGGAAGGAAATGAGAGAGAGAGAGAGAAAGAGAGAGGGAGAGAGCACGCACGCAAGTGTATCTATCCAGCAAGGATCTGGCTTCCAAAAAGCTAAAACTGGGATAGTAATTAGTAACTTCAGAAGTCTGCATTCACTGAAGTACAATCCAAAAAGACTAGACAAAGAAACCAAAAACTCTACTGCTAAAAGTAGAAATCAAACATGAATATTATAACTTGGAGAATAATTTTTTACAATTACCATATACACTATAAAAATTCTTCACTAATTAAACTCTGCAAATAGAATTTACAAGTGATGCATATCTTTGAAAGATTTTAAAACTTTTGATACAATGATAAAACACTAGTGCAGTGGATTGAAGATGAAACATGCTACCTACTTCTTGCCAAAAAAGTGATATATCAGGCTTTAAAATGCTAAAAGAGACATGTATTTTTGGACATGACCAATGAAGGAATTTGTTTTGCTGGACTATGCATATTTGTTAATGAAGGTTTTCTTTTTTCCTTTTTTTTTATACATTGTTCAATCCTAAGAGGCAATGGGAGAGATGATAAATGCTTATAAAAACAAACTGGGGGAAAAAAAAAGGAAAAAATCTTAAATAAAATGGAATCTGACTCCCCAAACAATTTAAATCAAATAACTTTCTCATAAATATACAACCATTGTAAGAGAGAAAGATATTCTATTTTTAGAGTATGTTAGACATCCTAAAAACTTTGTGACATTTAAATATTGACATTTTATTAGCATTTGAACTAAAAAACAAAAATTCTCTTTAAAAATGTTCTCACTCAACAAAATTGGCTAAATTTTCCCATCATTCCTTTTTATTTGTTGAATATTTCAGATGGCCATCTGAAGGGATACTAAGTTCACTGAAAACATATTATTTATAATGAAAATGTATTGTTGTCATTCATTTATCAATAAGAATCTTATCGGTGGGCTGAGCCAAGATGGTGGAGGGAAAGCAGTGATTTGCTACAGCTCTCCCCCAAACCCCTCCAAACACCTACAAAAAATGGCTCTAAACAAATTCTAAAGCAGCAGAACCCACAAAAAAACAGAGTAAAACAAATTTCCAGGCCAAGACAACCTGGATGGCTGATCGGAAAGGTATATCGCGCCAGGCTGGGAGAGGAGCACAGCTTGGCGTGGGCACACAGGCCACAGCGACCCTGGAGCAGGCCTCAGAGAACTGAATCGCAGGCAGCTGTGGCGATTTCCAGACTTCTCAACCCATGAATGCCAAAGACAACTTAGAAGGCCAGTGGGAAAAGTCTGTTACTGCGGTGAGAAGAAGCTAGATGTCAGCCGCCCCAAGGGCAGCAACTGGCTTCTGAGCTTCTGGCCCACAGGCTGAGGGGGAATCGAGTGGCTGATCAGAGGGGGATTGCAAGGATCTCTTTGCCAGGAGTGAGGTAGGAATCTCTTGCTTTGCCCGTGCTTGGATATGGGTCACAGTTCTGAGGGGCAGTCCTGGGGCAAGGAGGAGTGCTGGCGAGGAGGAGCACTGGCATGGTGGAGCTTGTTGTGGAAGTGGAGAGGAAACACCTCGCCCCTTATCATACCACCTTGGAAGAACTGACACTTTTCAGGTCCCTAGAAGAATCTCTGAAAACAGCTGTACAAACCCCCAAAGCTTGGGACAATACATTCTCCACATTGGAAACAGACTCTAACCTTAACAAAGAGTTTAAAACTCAAATAATTGGTTGGGATCATGAGCAAGCAGCATAAAAAGAGTCAGACTATATTATTTTACTTTGGTGACAAAGAAGATCAAAACATACAACCAGAAGAAGACAACAAAGTTAAAGCTCCTACACTCAAAGTCCCCATGAAAAATATGAATCAGTCCCAGGCCTTGGAAGAGCTCAAAAGGGATTTTGAGAAGCAAAAAAGAGAAGTAGAGGAAAAACTGGGAAGAGAAATGAGAGTGATGCAGGAAAATCATGAAAAGCAAGTCAACAGCTTGCTAAAGGAGACGCAAAAAAATACTGAAGAAAATAACACCTTAAAAAAAAATAGCCTAACCCAAATGGCAAAAGAGGTCCAAAAAGCCAATGAAGAGAAGAATGCCCTAAAAAGCAAAACTGGACAAATGGAAAAGGAAGTCCAAAAGCTTACTGAAGAAAATACTTCATTAAAAATTAGAATAGAGCAACTGGAAGCCAGTGACATTATGAGAAATCAAGACACTGTAAAACAAATCCAAAAGAATGAAAAATTAGAAAACAATGTGAAATATCTCATTGGAAAAACAACTGACCTGGAAAATAGATCCAGGGGAGAGAATTTAAAAATTATTGGACTATCTGAAAGCCATGATCAAAAAAAGAGCCTAGACATCATCTTTCAAGAAATTATCAAGGAAAACTGCCCTGATATTTTAGAACCAGAGGGCAAAATAGAAATTAAAAGAATCCACCGATCTCCTCCTGAAAGAGATCCCCAAAGGAAAACTCCTAGGAATATTGTAGCCAAATTCCAGAGTTCCCAGGTCAAGGAGAAAATATTACAAGCAGCCAGAAAGAAACAATTCAAGTACTGGGGAAACACAATCAGGATAACACAAGATTTAGCAGCTTCTACATTAAGGGACCACAGGGCATGGAATATAATATTCCGGAGGGCAAAGGAGATAGGATTACAACCAAGAATCACCTACCCGGCAAAACTGAGTATAATTCTTCAGGGGAAAAAATGGTCAGTCAGTGAAACAGAGGACTTTCAAGTATTCATGATGAAAAGATCAGAGCTGAATAGAAAATGTGACTTTCTAACACAAGACTCAAGTGGAAAATGAAGAGGTAAACAGGAAAGAGAAATCATAAGAGACTTATTAAGGTTGAACTGTTTACATTCCTGCATGGAAAGATGATATTTATAACTCATGAGACCTTTGTAAGTATTAGGGTAGTTGGAGGGGAAAAATTATATGTATGTATATAGATAGATAGATAGATAGATAGATAGATAGATAGATAGAGGGCACAGGGTGAGTTGAAGATGAAGGGGTCTTATCTGGAGAATAAAATTAAGGAGTGAGAGAGGATTATACTAGGAGAAGGAGAAAGGGAGAGGTAGAATGGGGTAAATTATCTCACAAAAAAAAACAGAAAAGAAAAGGCTCTTACAGTGGAGGGGAACCAGGGGAAGGTGAGAGGAAATGAGTGAATCTTATTCTCATAGGATTTGACTTAAGGAGGATATAACATACACACTCAATTGGGTATGGAAATCTGTCTTACCCTACAGGAAAATAGGAGGGGAAGGGGACAAGAAAGTAGGGGGATGATAGAGAAGAAGGCAGATTGGGAAAGGGGGTAATCAGAAGCAAATACTTCTGAGGAGGGACAGGGTCAAAAGAAAGAACAGAATAAATGGGTGGGCGGGATAGGATTAAGGGAAATAGAGTTAGTTTTTCACATCATGTCTACTATGGAAGTGTTTTGCATAACTGCACCTGTATAACCTACATTGAGTTGCTTGCCTTTTCAATGAGGGTGGGTGGGGAGGGAGGAAGGGAGAAAATTTGGAACCCAAAGTTTAAAAAAACACGTTTTTAAAAAAAATGTTTTCACATGCAACTGGGAAATAAGAAATACAGGAAATGGGGTACAAAAATCTATCCTGCCCTGCAGGAAAATAGAAGGGGAAGGGGGGGAGAGATAGCAGGGAAAGCAGACTAAGGGAAGGGGTATTCAGAATGCATGTCATCTTGGGGTGGGGGGAGGGGCAAGATGGGGTGAAAATTTGGAACTCAAAATCTTGTGGAAGTAAATGTTGAAAACTAAAAATAAAAAAAAAATTAAAAAAATAATAATAATCTTATCAATTTATTTTAAAACCTGCTTTAATTTCAATGAGTATTTGATGTACAGGATAGCTACCTTAAGTAAAAATTTTTGAAAAACCTAGAAAATGGCTTAATTATTCAACTTAGGTATTTTCCAATAACATTTTTTTAATTAAACTGTAATACTATTTTATATAAAATAAAAGCAATTATAATTTAGTTTAATATTTTTTTGATCACCTGATCGAACTGAAACTATCCTATTCACACCATCCATTATTGTCAGAGGATCATGACGCCGTTCGGTAGAACACTGTCGGTCAAACTCCACTCTGAGTCCTTCAGCACCTAAAGAACAAAAAAAAAAAAAAAAAAAAAAAAGGACAAAAAAAATATAAATTTCATATATTACCACTCTTTCTTATTAGGTGAAACAAGGGGAAAAAAACCCAAATCCAGAAGCTCCATGCATCTATAATGGATCATTACTATATCTGTTCAATTTAACTCAACAAACATTTATTAAGAGTCTCCTCTCTGCATTAGTAGAGTTTCTACAGTAGGAATTCCTGACATCGGTAAATTCAAGTATGGACTATCACCCCCCAAAAATACACAAGATATTGTAGGGCATTAAAAAGATGAAAAATTATGATTTCTGCCCTGAATAAGCAAGTGTACCAGGATAAGCAGTAAAATCAAATAGAAAAGGAGACTAATAAATCAGAAAACTGGAATCAGTATCTCAAAAAGCTATCGATAAGAGTTACGGACAAAGACAATTCAGAAAGCTTTTGATCATCCTATTTCTTTCAAGCTTCGTTTTCACTCAATTTCATCATTACAGGACACCTCCCACCAAAAAAACGCTAAATTATTTATGGTTAGCAAATTTTTAAAGCATATTTTAGCTTTTTTTAAAACATTTTTTATTTTTAAATTTTAAAGCATATTCATTTAGCACCCTTTTAAAGCACAAACCTTTTTACTCCTCAGGGTGAACTAGCTTATGTAATAACTAATGGCAAATTAAATAAAACATAACAGAAGGCTTATTCTATACCTCAAACTGAAAATAAACAGTCTTTTGATAACATTTTTATAACCCATCTTTTAAAAGATCCTAAATCCAATGTACTGAGCCCACATGAGTTTTTTAAGAAACAAAGTTAATATGAAACACCCACCAAAAAAATTACTACCTGACTCACAATAAAAATAAATAAATGAATGAATATCACAAAACATTAAATATCATTCTACCACCAGATGGCATTATTACTTTGCTACTTAGGGCATCACTGACAGAAACGACCTCAAACTTCAAATTAAACATTTGATACCTGGAAAATAAAAGGCTACTACATTAATTGTGTGGCATTTCTTCTAAGAAAGATACTAAATACCGTTGACCAAATGTTACCAATTTACTTTGTGTTACTATGTTTTCTGGAACAGGAAGTAAACAGGCAAGCTTCCTCCTCTGCATAAAGCGAGTATCTTAATAATAAGTAAATTCTGTTAGCCTTATATGTTAACAAGCAGCAACAAATTACAGTTACAAAGTAACAAATTACAGAATATAAATAAATACAGTAAGAGAGGAGGAATAAGCATAATTAATGTTTAGTCCAGCAATTATCTAAGCATATAAAGTCTGGTAGCATCCTACACCTTGTACAACAGGTTCTAAAAACATTTGTTAATGAACTAGAAGTGATTTTTTTAAAATTTGGTAACTGACATTTCAAATTCAAAAAAAAATGACTCAACAGTTGATCACGATAAGAAACCATCAATAAATTCTGCAGATTAGAACAATCTTGAGAATGGTTTCTGGATAATAAATGTAAATCCAAAGTAGTGATGAAAAGTTAAACTGATAATTTAATTACATCTAAAAACAGGTTTGGGTTATTCTTCAGCTTTCTAGAGAAAAGATTAGTCTTGTTTTCTCATATATCAGGCAATCTTGCCCTCTGTTCCCTTCTTCATAATTTCCCTAATTTTTTTCCTTTCTTTTCATTAAAATTACCTATAAGGTAAGCTATGTAAATTATGCTTTAAAAGTGAGAATTATAAAACATAACATGCTAATTTAAGATTTCTAGGCTCTAAATAGTGGTTCTCTTCTCAGAGCAACCAAAAAAAAGTTTGATAAATCATACTAAATAAGTTGTACTAAGTAAGTCACTTCAAACTCTCAGGATCTGTTCCTTATTCATAAAATGAAAAGTTTGGATTAAGGACTTTATTTGCTAGTTAATTCAAAGAAGGGTTCTATAGAAATTCCCATTTTTTGTTTGTTTGTTTTGTTTTTCACTAGGCAATAGGATTAAGTGACTTTCCCAGGGTCACACAGCTAGTAAGTGTCAAGTGTCTGAGGCCGAATTTGAACTCAGGTCCTCCTGACTCCAAAGCTGGTGCTCTATCCACCACACCACCTAGCTGCACCTTCCCTTTTTTTTTTTTTTAAAGCTATAATTACAGTATAGTCACTTACATAATTTGAGGAGGTAATATTTATTCCCACTTCTTATACCTGTGATTTTATTGAGTACCTGGTATTTTAACAGTGCCACTGGTGGAGGTATCATCAGTATATGGATGGCTACTTTCTACTACAACAGGCTGGGAAGAGAGTCGACCACTCTGAGAGTCGGTAGCAACATCTTCTAACTCTGTAACACACAGCTCCAACAACATGTCAGCTACCTGAAAAGAATAAGAAAAATAAAACCAAAAAATGTGAACTAGAATTATATCTGGGGAAAAAAAAAAGTTAAGTAGGAGAGTTCTCACTACTACCACCATGACCCCTCCCCCATCCCACTCCCCCCACCCCCCACCCCCCCCACACAAAAACTTCTGAATAAACACCTCTTTTTATGTCGATGCAAGGATAGGATGGACTAATAAATAAAACTGATAGGTTTATTCCTCCCAATAAGGATGAATTCTCTTGGGGGGAAAAAAATTTAAACCATGAGATAAGGAGATACCACAGTCTTGATAATTTAGTTCTAGAGAGGCTGTTCTCTAAGGGGAGGATGAAAAAGGAAAAACAGGCTAAACATCTGAATGGAAAGGACATAAGGCAATTTTTAAAAAGGAAAAAAAGAGGGGGGATTTGTATCCTTTCTGAAGATAGTCCCATAAAGACTAGAGCACTAATGTCCTAAGGAGACTTAACAAGTACAGATGAAGAGACATTAATGAAACACCTGGCTTCAGGGCACAGAAAGAGGAAGGCATACTTTTCAACTAGCTGTAGAAAACATTTCTATATGGGAAACTGAGGTAAATGTAGATGCTTACAATTACAGCTTCGTGGAGCATTAGAATTTGAACTATTACTGATGGAGATTGTCTAACAACTTTTTATGACTAAAGTAAAATGAACACAAAGCAGTCCTAGGATTAACTAAGAGTGTAATAGTCAATTCAAGCTATCAGCCCTTGATAGGGCTAAATAGTCCTAAAATCCCCATATTATTACTAAGGACCCTGTTAAATCATGTAACTCATGATTCAAGTGACTAATAACAGAGTTCTGGTGAAATTCAATTAGATTAATATATTCTACATCACATACTTCAAAAAACTGAGACTTTACAATAACTACTTCTTTTCCAAATGTATGATTTCATCAGTAAAGGGAGTTGGGGGAGAAAACTCCCTTTACTAACGCAGAACCAGCAGCTGTTCTGTAACTTGTGCGTTTGGATTTTTTTTCCCCTAGTTTGAATAGCATACTTTATTTTTGAAAGTAATTAGAAATATTTGAAAACCATGTATTTTTAAGAAAAAAACTTGTTTTTTCTATTTCTTGTAGAGTTGTTGGTACAAGAAAAAAAAAGCTTCTGGTTTGGATATGAAGAATTCCCAAATGAACTTTGTATTTGTAAAACTAATCATGACTATCACAATTTTGACTGAGCACAAAACACTTTGAAAAGAGCAAAATGCTTTGCCCAGACACAATCTGAAAATCATTTTGCACTGCAGGAAGTTAAGACTCAGTAAACCACATAAGAAAAAAATAATTCTGCTGAGTATACATTTTGTCACACTGAGGTTAAGTATAAATCCTAAGTCCCTAATTATCTCACTCATCTCAGTGCTCTCCCAAACCTTCTCCCTACTCAGATCTTCCAGTTTCCCCTGCCCCTCCACCCACTCAGCTGAGAACCCTGCTTCATATCTGACTCAAAAAAAATGAGGTTATTCACCAAAAGCACCCTCTGTTCATATTGTTGTCAGACATCAATCACCCTTCTGCCCTCCTCCTTTGCTTCCGTCTGATATAATGAAGTGGCCTTTCTTGCCAAAGCAACCACCTACGTGCACAAGCGATCCCTTTCTTCCCCGTCTTCTCCAGCAGTCTGCCCCCTCTATCACCTCCATTCACTGATCTTCAGTCTCTCCCTGTCTGATGGTTTCTTCCCTACTACCTACATTCTCAGGTCTCTCTCATCCTCAGAAAACTCTCACTTGATCCTCACATCCCCACTAGTCATAATCCCATAATTATCTTTCCTTTTATAGCTAAATTCTTTGAGAAGATCTACATTAGGCGCTCTGTTTCCTTTCCTCACCCTTTTCCCTTAACTCTCTACAATCGGGCTTCCAACTTCATCAATTAATTAAAACTTTCTCCAAAGTTACCAATGATTTCTTAGTTGTAAATCCAATGGCCTTTTCTCAATACTCACCTTTCTTATTCTTTCCTCTTTTCCTTGATACTCTTTTTCTAATTTTTTGATGACACTGCTCTTCCCTAGTTCTTCTTCTACCTATTTGACTATTTTTTTCTGTCTCCTTTGCTAAATCTTTATACAGGTCATGCCCACCACAGGTGTCTTAAAGGTCTCTTCTGGGGCCTCTTTTCTTTTTCCTCTATACTACTTTACCTGGTGATCTCATCAGCTCTCATAGATTCAATTACCTCTATGATGATGATTCTCAGGTCTGCTTATTCAGCCTTAACTTGTCTCTTAACTCCTAGACTCTCATCTCTCACTGACTATTGGACATCTCTAATATCCCACAGACATCTTCAACTCCACATATCCAAACCGGAACTCATGATCTTTCCTTTAAAACCCTCCCCTCTTCCAAACCTCTCTTATTACCGTTGAGAGTATCATCTGCCTTCCCAGTCACCCAGGCTCCCAAACTAGGTGTTATTCTAGATTCACTCTTGCCCATCCGCCCCCACATTCAATATGCTGCCAAAGCCTAATGATTGCAACATCTTTCAACTATGACTTATCTCTGTTCTGATACTGAGGCCCTCACCTCCTCACACCTGGACTACTACAACAGTCTGATGGATGGCCTGCTCTCTATTGCAGTCCAGTCTCCACTTAGCTATCAAATTAATATTCCTAAAATATAGGTCTGAACATGTCACTTCCCTACTCAATAAATTCCAGTGGCTCTCACTCACCTCCAGGATCAAATATAAAATCCCTTATTCAGTATTCAAAGCCCTTCAAAGTCAAAGAACTCACTCCATCCTACCTTCCCAGTCTTCTTACAATCTAGACCCCACACCCCATTTACTACTCTGTCATCCAGTTGCAATGGCCCCTTTCCTGTTTCTCTCACAAGTAATTGCATTTCCTGACTCTGGACATATTCACTGGCTATTCCCCCTTTGACTAGAATGTTCTTCCCCATCTTCACCCCCTGACTTCTCTAGCTTCCTTCAAGACCCAAGACCCAATTAAAATACCACCTTATACAACAAGTGGTTTTCAATGCCCCTCAATTCTCTCTGTTATTTCCTATTTATCCTAGATGCAGCTTGTTTGCACATAGTAACTTGGTTATTGTCTCCCACCCTGGACTGTAAGATCCTTGAGGGCAAAGATTGTCTTCTACCTTTCTTTATATCCTCAGCACTTAGAACAGTGCCTGTTGCCTAACAGTCATTTAATGTTTACTGAGTATTACTAGAACACACACCAACAGGAAGCTGATATGCCATGTAATGTGTTTTGTAAAACATATTCAATCCCTGGATATAGCTGTATCTAACTTAAAACAACGTGATCCTATCAAGTTACTTGAATGACAAATAGGTATAATTTACCACTGGCTTTTCATTTCAGATGTGTTCTATGAAAGTCATTCCTTTTGCTGTTCTAATTACTCTAGTTCTTAAATAAAATACAGGAAGCATATATAGGTAGTAAACTACCCTAAAAGAAAGCAGTCATGAGACCTTTCATAAAATAAACAATCCTGCCATGCAAAACAAGAGTCACAATCTATTTATAGACCACATTTTTTATCTTAGATAATCTAGAGTTCACTTGAGTCTTCATATGTCCACTAATTCAAACTTCATGCTCTCCTTCCCCAAAATGGGAAGAATAATTTACATGTAGTTCCAAATGATATTTCCAAAGTGAAAGACCATGTTTTAGTACAGAAAGATAAGCAATGCTGAGATTCCCAAGCTCCCACTAAATTAAATGAAATCTCTTGGTCAAATAAGAAGCTTAAGGGCTAACTAGCCTATGTACAGAATGTAAGGATTACATTTTACATTAAATCAAATATTCAGCAATGATTACCCAATTAAGTATGCTTTAAAGACTAAACATCAATAATACTGATTGAAAAAGCTATTTTTGGTCCAATAAAAATAGATTGGGAAAATAACTGAAAACACGGGCCAGGTATCTGTTGTTGAGGAAAGAAAATCAGTATTCATCAGCGAAGAAAGAAAAGGACACTTCTTTCCCTACACAGAAAGATAAATTATTATAATGACATGCTGAACAAGAAAGGAGCCAAGATTGTATGGTGGTAACCCAATCTTACAGCTGTATTTGCAAAATAAACATACCCTCCACATCACTGTAGCATTTGGTTACTCTGTTCCTATTCGCAAAACCTCCAACTTTGTAAAGCATATTCATGATATATAAAATTTGGTAAAACTGCTGCAACACTGCTGCAAACTCCAGTCTCTGCCTGAGTAGTTACTAAAATGCTGGTGGTCCTACATTTAATATTGCCATCAAAATAAGCATGTTGTTTTGTTGCTTTTTTTAATTTTTAAAACTCATCAGCATTTAAAGAACAAAAAATCAAAATACCCCAATAGGCATAAACCTATTTTCAATTTTTAATTATGAAGACTGTTCACCTTTACTTGATTGGACTAATTTTTCCAATTTACTGAATAAGTCTTTAGCACTCTGAAATCTACTAAAGTCCTAGAGAAAGCCAAAATGATTAGTAAAGAAATTAAGTTTATGCACTACTTTCCTCTTCTCCTGTAAATAATTTTAAGGAAATTTTTTAGGAAAATGCTTTTATGTTTCTAGTTCAAGTGTGTGATTCTGAGTAGGAAAATATCTGACTAGACTAACAGCCAATCAAACATTATAAAAATTGCTTCTATCACACTGGAAGAAGAGGAAATTATTTTCAATGAATACTATCTTTCGTCTCTAAAGGATCGCAGGTGTAAGTTTGCATGATCCATTAAGTGATCAGGGTTGTTTTTCTCTCAATAAAGGTTTTATATGTAAAAAGGTCATTTATGCTTGACTTTCAGTTTGGTTGACAATTTGATGATGAGATTCATAACATTGTAGTTGCTCTGACATTTGACACGTTTACTGGATTCTGAGCCACATCTTGGAATGCCACCATAACTTCTGAATCCTATATGGCTACAAGAACTTCTAGATTCTGGCCCTTCTGCCAGGCCTGCCATTCCAAGAATAGCCCCTCCTACACTAGGCATGCCTCCTGGAAAATTCCCAGTCACACTTCCAGGAAAATGACCAAACTTGGCTCCCACATTTCACTGGGCCTCCTTCTCCTTTTAGGATGTCTGAGGTTCCTTCTGGGACTTCTTCACCCTGTCTTTCTTTTCTTTTTGATCTCTTACTCCTCAGTGTTTCTTCTGTATTTTCACCAACGTTCTTTTGGGCCCTTGGATGAACTTTCCTCAGTATAATACTGACTTCTTCATCATAGTCCAATTTACATACCATGGAAAGATCATGGACTAATTCTTCTCAGTAGTCTAAATGAGTCAAGGTTCATTTCAACTGCTCTGTCACAATTTCTGATAGTGTTTGGTCTCTGAAGTTTTAGAAAGATAGTTGATCTCTTGGCATATAAAATACACAAATAAGAATTCAGTTGGACGGTCTCCCTGAGTAATTCAATGGCTCTCGAAAGTTCACTATTCAGAGCTTCAGTGAATACCACCTTCTTTTCATTAGCCAGATCCATCATCTCATCTGTTAGCTCTACAGGTTCATTCCCCTTTTCCTGGGAGAAATCAGAATCTGGTTCCTTCATTCAATAATTAATTACTATTATTATTAATTATTAATTACCCACTTTCTGATTCCTCTGGTTTTGAGGGGTTCCTTTGGTTTCTTACTTTTAGTTTTTTGCCCCCAAGATCTTTTCTTCTGATCTAGTTTTATGTGGAACAGGGTTTAATTTTACCATCTATACTTTCTACCTAGTCTCTGAGGAAGTGGACTTGGCATACAGGAGGCCCAGTTCCCATTGGGAGAGCCTGACAAAGGCCTGGAGCTCATCAAGCTTACTACTGTCCAGGCTACTGATGTCTAACAAAGCTGGTGAGATGAGACCTAGGCACACTGGCACACTGTGAGGACCAGCAGTTGCGCTTAGATATGACAAGGTTGGAGAAGGGAAGCCAAGTTATAATCTTAAAGAGCTGCTAGAGGAGCTAAGAAGGTTAAGTTACTCGCCCATGGTTTTCAGAGCCAATGTATGCCTGAGGTAGGACCTGAACCCAGGTCACCCTGACAACTGCTCTCCCATAATTACTTAATAACAAGTTACTACAATACTACATTAAAAAAGGAGGAAAGAGTGGTCTTCATGGAAATCATAATTCTATGTCTCCCTAAACATGTTAAAGACAATTCTGCTAGTATTCCACAATAGGATAAAAATGCATTAATTAGAAAAGTTACTGTTATTTTTGTTGAAACTCATGCTACCACTGATTTTTTTTAACAACTCCACACTAATCTTGTCTTTGTATAATTATATTTACCTTTCACTGAATATTCTTTTGGTTGTAAGACTAAAAGAAAGAGTTGACTGTTAAGAATTTCTAATTTCTAAAATATTCTTAAAATTCTGTAAAATACACAGAAAAAATAGGTCAGCATCAACACTATATGGATAAAATAAATAAGTAAAAAGTAAGTAGTCAACAAGAAAGGGCACCCATTTTGCCACTAGAAAATCAGTGAGCAGTTCCCTCATGTACTTATTCCCCATGGAGCAAAATTTTAAGTACTAGGATTCAAAAACTAATAATTTCATTAATTACCTGGCTTCCTAAAGATATGGTCAGAACCTTCTACTGATTGTCAAGAAGTTTCTTTTCTGGGGTCTGTAAATAATTTATTTTCCTCTAAATTTTCTGACTGATGTTCATATGTGAAATTGCCAAGTGACACTCTTTTTTGTTTTTGTGAAGAGGAGGAGGAATCTAGACCTGTGATGTCATCAGCTGGGTACAACACCTGTTGTGGGCAATCTACCTATCAATGCAAAATGGCAACTTATCTATAATTTTCAGTCTTAGAGTTTATTGGGTTAAGCGACATAAGTGACCTTCCTGTGACTCTTTAGTTACATCAATAAGAATCTGGGAAAAATCAAGCAGTACAGTACAACTGAAAAATAAAATGGGAAAAAAAATGGGATATTTCTAATACATGCTTTAACTCACCTGGGGATAAGCAGTGCCCATACCAGAGAGCACAGCTGAAAGAACATCTTTTCCCTTCTCACCAGCTCGGTTAGAAACAGACAGCTTGAGCAAGTCAACCATGACACGGGTATCATCTGGCACTAAGAGACTAGTAAACTCATCCAAATATTGTGGTTCAGGACCTGATACTTTATTTTGGCTTTCAACATCCTGAGAAATTAAAGAATAAAGATGATGAACATAATATAAACTACATAGTTCTATGTTTTAATAATGAATGCATTAATTTTTAATAAAAAGCACTTAAGGAACATTATGAATTTTATTCTACAGTGTAAAGTCTACAGTACGACAAAATACCCAAAAGTCGAATATTCAATAAGTATGATTCATTTATAGATAGCAGGCTCCTAAACAGCCACACATTCATAAACTTATACTTTCTAAACAGCCTTGATTGATTCTTTCCAAAGTCTTACCAAATACAGAGACTTTACCAGGTAAATCTTCAAAATATAAAGAAAAGTGAATCAAATTAGTAATGTGACCAAGCTAGTATTGAAATTATTCATTACAGTGGTATGCTTAAAATTAACAAGCCCTTTCTTCCTACTTCTTACAAATCTTTGCTGCAACTGGATGAGACTTATCTAGAGAATGGATTATGTCCATGTTGGGTTTTTGCTGTACACTTGTATCCAACTCTTCATGACCTCTTTTAGGGATTTTCTTGGCAAAAATACTGGAGTGGTTTGCTGCTTCCTTCTCCAGGGTCATACAGCTAGTGTCTGAGGTCAGACTGAACTCAGGAAGATGAGGATTCCTGACTTCAGGCCTGGCACTTTATCCTCTGCACTACCTAGTTATCCATGTCTGGTGCATGAGCACAAATATTTTGAGTGTTTTTAGGAATGAAAATACTTTCCTAATTCTATCTTTGTTCCTAAAATGTCACAAAAACAATAGCAATTTTTAGGCATATCACCAGAAAAGAAAGCAACAGCTAATGAAAATAATGAAACAAAATAAAATGTGTGGGACAAACAAAATATCACACATTATTCAAGTATCACTGATTTTTCCTTGTAGAATATTCCCCAAGCATTTAATCTGGAAACAAATAACTAATAAACAACTAGAAGCATAAATATACTTTTAAAAAATTCTAATATCCAATACGAAAAATGTACTGCAAGATTCTTTCACTGTACTATTTTTAAGCATAGCACTGTAAGCAAAAGTAAAATTCATTATTTAAATATACATCCACCAAAAGTACATTGGTAGCTTTTCTAGTATTTAGTATAAACATATTATTTGATAGCAGATCTCTGCTATCATTTTACCATTCAGATCTAGGAACTAATTTATCCACAACAAAAGAGCTCCACCCGCAAAGAATTTGCATCATATAAAGCCAAAACCAGGGGTTTTCCCTTATACAATATGCTTTAAATATATCTATTGATTTGGTCTACTGAGCAACAATAATCCAAATACTGTCAGTATAATTTTATATATCCGGTCTAGACTCCTCCAATGATTCCTTCCAAAAGTCTTCTTCTAAGCAACTGTAGCACTTTATTTGAGCTTGGTGGCTCAATATTAATACTATTTTTAAGTCTACAAGTCAACAAATTGCTCTAAATCAAATTTCACTGGAAAGTAAAACAATTAATTTGTAATGATATACCTGCCTTTTTTCCTTCAAGATGAAAAAAGAAATTACATCTGATTGTACATTATTACATGTGAGGCCTAGAAGCAATCAAATGTAATTTAGCAAAAATACTGAAGTTTTGAATCATGTATAAATATAAAAGTTAAGATGTTTAATTTAGTAAGTGTAAATTTAAACTTTAAATTATTTAACAATATTTTAAGAATATTTTTAAAATTATAAATTCTTAACAGTCAATTCCTTCTTTTGGCCCTATAACCAAAAGGATATACAATTAAAGGAAAACGCAATTATACAAAGACAAGATTAGTATGGAATTGTTAAAAAAAAAAATCAGCAGTTGCATGACTTTCAACAAGAATAATAATAATAATCTAATATAAAATTAAATGGGCTAAAGACACAGGAACTTGATAATCAACGATGCTATTCCCTTATAGAAAAGGAAATGCTATCTCCCTCTTCAACACAGGAGAGTAGTAAGTCTACATTATTTTGTATTTTGAAAAATAATTCTTGGGTTAATCCTTTAACCCAGGAGATTTCTGAGGTTGATGACAAAATAAGATTTTAATTTATGAAAAATAATTCTCTTTACACTGAAAAATGGATTTAGGTATGTTTTATGTGAGAATATAACCGCTGGCATAACAAATCAAGGTTTTCAAGTAAATTAAAAACAATGGTTATTACTTCTTTGGTTTTAGTCATGGTCTCTGCAATGATACTGGCAGCTCCAGGATCATCAGTCACTGGAATAAATGGTCGAGAGGAGGCAGAGGAAGCAGAGGGAGTCACTGCTGATGGAGTCACAGCATCTTCTGAAGAAACTACCTAGTTTAAAAAAATTAAAGCAGAGAAAGAATAAGAAAGATAAACCAACAAAATCCAGGAGCAACTACATGTTTTTGAAATATTAAAACTATAGTCTAAAATAACATAGCTCCCCTCTTTCTTTTTTTCCTTAACTTTAACCCACCACCAGCAACCACCACTTCCAAAGGCCTTGACATAATAAACAAGTCAATTTCCATCAAAATATTTTTAAGCTTTTTAAAATAATATTATACCCTATACAGCTAGGTAATGCAGTAGATAGAGGTCTGGAGTTGGGAAGACCCAGATACAATACAGCCTCAGATAATTACTAGCCATGTGACTCTGGGCAAATCTCACTTAATTTCCATCTGCCTCACATTCCTCAATCTGTAAAATGGGGATAATAAGAACAACTACCTTACAGGGTTATTCTGAGGACCAAATGTGGTAATAATTGTAAAGAACTTAGCACAGTGTCTGGCATGAAATAAGCAATATATAAATGTTCATTATCATTACTGTTATTGTTATTGTTACTATTATTTCAATATAGACACAAAAGGCTATTTAAAATAGTAAAAATATAGAAATTATATTTGCACCCAGTCAGTAAATATTAAGGCTGATAAACTTTAAACTATCTATTTCCTTCCATTGCAGGGTAGGTGTTTTCCCCTATGACAACAAATAAAGTACTAATTGGATAGTCTGATATCACCAATTTTTTCTACAGTCGATTGATTGATTACCTCCCCTCTCCTGTCCTGCCATGGATTTGGGCTCAGCCTTTCCTCTACATCCATAGTCATCACACAATCTTCACCATTCATAGGACTTCCCACTGAAGACACATCTGAAGGGGGAGCGGGCGATGAAGAAGATGGGCATTCCACTGGTGCGATCATACTAGCAGGCATTAAGGCTCCAACCACTGCATCTCTAAAAGAAATTTCAGTTTAATATTTAGTGCACTTTGCCATTTTCCTGGTTGTAAAAAAAATAAAAATAAAAATCTACAAGTATAACATGATCTTCTTATTGTCTAAAACTTGTGCTTCAATCAGACAACAAATGTTAAGTCTTCAGAAAAACAGTGCATTGCTTTACAACAGCAACATTTTATTTCTTGACTAAAAGGAAACCTATTTATGCCTTATTGAAGTGAAATGAAATTTACGAATTACAATAAAAATGACAAGTTTGTAAGCTTTTCCCAAAATTAGGCCAGAAGACATTCAGAAGAGTTTTTCTTGAAGGGCAGAGATGCTTTGGATGATGCTATCAATGAAAGCCAGCCTTAGTTTGAAAAAGAGATCAAGTATATGAATGTAATTGAATACTATTGTGCTATAAGAAATGATGAGCAAATGGACCTCAGAAAAACCTGGAAAGACTTTTGTGATCTGATGCTGAGCAAATGAGCAGAACCAGGAGAACACTGTGCACAGTAACAGCCACACTGTGAGATGACTAACTCTGACAGACAGTAATGCAAGGATCTAGGACAACTCCAGAAGACTCATGATGGAAAATGCTGTCCACATCCAAAAAAAAGAATTATGAAGTCTGAATGAAGATTGAAGCATATTATTTGCTTTCTTTTTTTTTGTTCCTTCTTTCTCATGGTTTCTCCCATTGGTTCTAATTCTTCTTTCAACACGACTAATGTTTAAACAGGTTTAATATGAATGTATATGTTGAGCCTTTATCAATTTACATGCCATCTTGGAGTTGGTAGAGGGGAGAGATGCAGAGAAAATTTAGAACTCAAAATTTTATGGAATGAATGTGGAAAACTAAAAATAAATAAATAAATTTATTTTTAAGAAAGAAAAAGAGACCAAAAATTTTCAACCTGTATACTGCTTGGAGGTGGGTGACTTCTACTGAGGTTATGAGCTTTAATTCTGGTATAATTCATGTCAAAAGATTGAAACAAATATCAAACAATAAACATTCAGTTTGTAGGAGAGATGATATCATGCTAGCTGTTCTTCAAAATCACCACCAACAAAATCTGTCTCTCCTATATATCAACATAATAGAAGTACAAGAAAATCTTGGTTCGTGTTCATGCCTTTGGTAAAGACCTCATTAGAGTACAAAGGTGACTACCATTAGCCACCAAATAGCATACACTAATATTGTACTAATCCTCCTAAGTCAAAAGGAACATTTACAAATAACATTTAATAGTCCTAACATACTTAGGGTTTTTAAATCTACTTGAACAATGAAGAAAAGGTGTACATGCCAAGTCTCAGTGCTTGTAAGTCTGTTTTTTAAATAAGTTGACAAACCTACCTTGCATACATAATTTGCAATGCTGTAAGAATATGAGATAATGCTTGCTGTTTGGCAAGGTTTCCATCCAAAGACAAGAGAATCTTAGCAAGGGAAGGGCGATTAGACTTGGAACTATTTGCACCACTGATTTTGTTACTGACAGCAGAAGAATCTGCATCGGAAGGAACACCTTAGAAATGGAAATGGAAATTTTGTGCTTAATTTTAAAATGATAATATTATTTGTTTCTAAACAGTTTTGCCTTTCTAATTCTAGCTTCTAAATAACTCCATTTTGCTGCACACATTCAGTAATATTAGAGTGGATACCTGGACTCAATAAACGTTTACTTTATTCATCTACATACATAAATAAATTAAAGACTATTACTCCTAAAAAACACTTTCCCCTTATCACATTAAAATTTCAACACTTTGACAAAATGTTTGAACACCACAAATTATAAGTACTAAAAATTCTACCTGAAATAATTAATATTCCTAACTGAAGGGTTACATTAGAAAAATCTACAAATTTACTTTCCCAAGAAAATTGAAACAATATAAAACCCTACATCCATAAGTTAACAAATAAGCAAACATTGTATAGACAATGCCTTTCATTAAAGGCAGGATTTTGCAGAATTAGGCATTTATCAATTATTTGGTAAACTGTTTAACTAATCTGAATTTACATATATCATGCAGAATATGGCATTTTATTATTAGTCATTGAATTAAGGAGACAATCAGGAAAAGAGCAAGAAGAAAGGTTTTCCTTTCTTTAAACATGAGAACATGAACTGCTATAATCTTTCTAATCATTAAGAGGAAAGCAGATTCTATTATTTTATCTTTCACAAATTCCCATTTTGACTACATAAACCCTCTTCTACAGTACAAGGAATTTTCTTTCTGCTCTGATGCACACCTCAATTCACACAATAACATTCCCTGAAATGTTAGTGGATATACTACACACTTGTAAGATCTTATGTCTATATTCAAACCAACTATGTTACCTAAGTAAGAAGCGCCTAAAGGGTCCCTAGCAGTTTGGAAGAGGACAGGTTCATGGACAGATGGGGTTGCTACATCTACTGTTGTCCATGCCACACTGTGCGATGAGCCACAAGCTACCCGGGTGATTTTTTGGCCTTCTAAGCCTTGCACAAGAGTGGGTTTTCTGTTGACAGTAGTGGTCCCATTGCCTTGCTGTCCATGATCATTGTCACCCCAAGCATACACCTGTAAAGAAAAACCAATTATTTCTAAAACAAAGAATTATTTTACATAGATCTATTTATGTTAAAAATACTTATTCTAGCACCTCAATAAATTAAATTAAAAAATCTTTTACAATATTGTTTTATTCACTAATAAAAGCTAAGTTTTTTGTTTGTTTTTTGTAGGGGGATTAGAATTTTGAATAACTAAAAGAAATAGGTATGCTTATCACTAAATTCTAAATAATCTTTCAGTCTAAATATTACAGCTTCAGGAAGAAAAGTCAATACTGTGCTGAATTTTGACAAGATGGATCATCACAGAGGATTTCATGATGCTATAAATGAAATAAATCATAAGACTGTGGTAAAGGTCTTATAAGCCTAAATGCTGATGAAATTCAAACTATTAACTGAGAACCTGAGAATCTTAGTTTTACTTCTCATTTGCATTTTTAAAAAAGAAAAAATAATGAAGTTGGTATAACAAGGTAGGACATCCTAAGAATCACGCTAACTGAGCAATCTTTTTGTAAATATTAATAAGGATCTATGTATACACTTTATTTTCTTCTTCGTTGTTTAGTCTGACTACCACATATTCCTAACAAGATATATCTTTAAATAATTTAGTAGGTAATCTCTACAGCATTTTTTACATTTCACAAATCTATAGTTTGAGCTGTAATCCTAAAATTAGCAATCCTAAAAATAACTATTAATATACATAACAGTACAAATCCTACTGTTTTAAACATCTCTTTAAAAATATAGCTATGGATAATCATTTTATCATCAGCATTCTCAAACAGAAAAGCAGGCCATTAATCCTACATAAGAATCCCCACTAGCCACATGCTGTTGTACTGTATTTTTATTGACTTTATTAAACATCTCCCAATTAAATTTGAATCTGGTTGGTCTCAAGTTGGGAGTTTTGCAGGCCATGAATTTTCCACTTTTGATTTACAGTATATAGTCAAAGGAAACACCTAATACCAATGTAATTTCTATTGTTTTGGCATTCCATAAACGTTAAAAGCAAGTTGTCCATACTTACTTGACCTGTATCAGTGACAGCTAAGCAGTGAAGGGCACCTACTGCCACATGAACTATCTTCTTTCCTCGTAGTCCTTCTACTACTTGTGGTTTTCTGACATGAACATCGGTGCCATGACCAAGCCTAAAGTAATCCCCTTTACCCCTAAAAAAGAACAATAACATTTCTCAAAGCTTCAAATCCATCATTTTCTTACCATAGGTATTCCCTCCTTTAACATACCTACCAACATCTCAGTTTACGATATTTGTGAATTGCTAAGACCAAAAAATTTCATGACATCATGGTGATGAGCTTCTCTACATTTTCTATATATAAATATTCAACTAAAATGGTCTTTACATAGACCATCAACATTATCAGGCCCCAACTCAAAGCCTATTTCAACTTGGTAGGCTCTATAAGAGCTTATTCTCCTCTCACATAGGCTTTGAGAATTCAAGGTCATCTTCACACAACAGGGCAGAACTGGAGAGGAACTTTAGTAAAAGAATAAATCACAGTATGTAACAGTAGCTAATTTAAATACCCATAGGATAATTAAAACTATAATAACTTTATAATACCATCACATTCCATTTATTCTGCCATGTAGATGTTTAATATTAGTACAGCCCTAATATTGATATAAACTCATTTCATAGATGATGAAACTGAGGCTTAGAGAGGTTAAATGACTTTCCTAGAGTTACTGAAGTCCTAGACTACCTTTATGTCACCTAGCAGCCTTAAGGATGATATCTAATCTAAGTGCACTTAAGACATTTTTAAAAGACTGCTATAAATTTAGGGAACAAATAAATTCAATTCATCCTACCAGGCAAATATTTAATATGTTTACTCAAATAATCATATATAAATCACTTGTCTGTAGTTTTAAATAAAGTGGATCAAATAGTAATAAAAATCTCTTCCTCAAATGCCTCTTGGGTTTGCTAGAGTCTAGCCCCTAATTATCTGTGTTGCCTGTGATTTTTAAAAAAAACTTAAAAAAATATATTTGTGATGCCTACTGAAGCCACTTTTGGTTTCTTCACTTACTTGGGGAAAAATAGGCATATTTTTTTCAGAAATTTAGAAATAGATATGAAAACTACTTTTAGCTCATTTCTTAAATGGCTTCTTCTATAATAGCTTAAGATAACTTTCATTTTAACTACAAAGTAAATAAAACAACGACAAAAGCTTGTAGCAGTTTTTCTACTGCCTCATTACCATAATCTCTTCACTAGAAAATAATTCTATTCACAAGATCTTAACATGATTTAACCGAAGAATGTTAATTAAGCATGAGGAAGAAAGACTTGAACCAAAAAAAAAGTATTAAGTTTATTTTCATATACAAAGCAAAACAAAAATCTAATGTTTCCAGCATATTGGAACTGTGATACTGAGCAAAATATTTTACATACCAAGTCCATACTACTCCTGACTTTGTAAGTGCCAAGGAAAACTGAGCCCCACACTCAATCTGGCAAACTCCTTGTCCATTAAGTCTCTCAATGTTTTGAGGAATGTTACATCCTTCACTTCCTCCCCGGCCCAGTTTCCCAAAGTCACCGTCTCCCCAGGAAAAGACCAACCCTATGTGGGGAAAAAAAAAAAGAAATAAACATATACATCAAAGAGGCATCATGGTGTTGTCGAGAGAAAGCCAGTCTCAATGTCAGTGAATTCTGTCTCTGACATATATTGGCTGTTTTAGTAGTAAGTCACTTAATGTTTCAGTGTTCCTGGGCAACTCTGGACTGTAAGTTATAGAGAGATGCTGACCTGCATTATTTTTGAAGGCATTTCCTCCCCTGGGAGTTCCCTATATCAATGAAACTAGAGGTCCGGTCCACCTCTAGATTTAAAATCAATATAACATTTTCAACCCATTTAAGTTTTGGATAAAGTATATTCTCACCTTCATCTGTCAAAGCCAGCGTCTGGGCATCTCTACTTCCACAAGCAACTTGAATAACTCGATGACCAAGAAGAACTTTCACCTATTGGAGGATTGGGAGGAAGAACGGGAGGAATAAGTCAGGTTACACACACACATACACACACACACACACACACACACACACACACACACACACACACACA